AAAGACCATCTCTTTAAAGGTGGGATTTGGTTCGCAAAACGAAATTAACATCATGTCAGACTGGCTGACAGGAGAAGTCTCCACTGTTCATGCCTTGTGAACATGCCAAAAGAGGCGCTTGCCAACTAATAACCAACCACCTCCACCAACACCACTACCACTACTACGGCACGTTGCTCAGCTGCTTGCTTAAAGGCCATTGATGACAATGCGCCGTGACACTTCGTTCCTAGTCATATTTCTTCAATGTCCCTCGTCGTTCCGCTCCGAGCCCTCGAGCCCGACTCGCATGAGAGTGCCCGGCCATATGGTGCCATTCGCCCGCTTCATCCCAAAGTCGGCAACGATGCTAAACCCCAGATTTCTGTAGAACCTATTGCTCATCTGTCAGCTCTCGGACGTCGTGTCTCCTAATCTGCCCTCCCCCCCCCCCCCAAGTACTCACTTGACCAATTTCCTGCCGTTTCCCGCCCACGCATCGAGGTAGAGCGTCTTCGCTCCCCTCTCGAGCCCGTAATCCCTGGCTTGCTTCACAAGCGCCTTCCCGGCCCCCTTGCGCTCATGTCCCGTTCTGAAATCCGTGATCAACACGTCGAGATACACGAAGCCCTCTTTCCCTTCCAGCTCGGCACGGATGGCGTCCACGTGAAACTGCGACTTGACATGCCCGGGCAGCCAGTCGTCGCGGACGAACGCCGCCCCGACCGAGAGCAAGAGCGCCCCGTCGTCGGCCGTCCAGTACCGGAGACCGGCGTGCCGCCTCGGCTCGTCGTCGCTGCCGCTCGGGAGAGGGAGAGGCGCCGCCGCCGCTGCCGCCGAAGACGGCTCGACCTCGGCGTCCGCGATGAAGATCCGTAACGCCTCCCCCTCGCCCCTCGCCCGATACCTCTCCGACGCCCGAACGTCCGCCGCCGTTTGCTCGCGAAACCCCTCCTTTTCGCTGAAGGGCCGGGATCCCCACATGCCGCCGCTGCCAATCGCTTCGAGGTACGGGAGCGTCGAGTCGAACACCTCCACGATGTAGGCGTCGTCCTGGTGGAGTGCCCCCGCCCCTCTGATCCGCAGCTTGTTCATGATGCAAAGCTAGGGGGAAAAAAGAAAATAAATAGAAAATAAATAAAAAAGGAGTAGAGCAGTCTAGCGCTATGTTCCAGACGCAGTTTGCGGGAATGATGGGAACGAAAGGCGTCAAGGTATGAGCACATACGAGGTTCCAGCACAAACGCATACATACACAACAATAGGCCACCCCCGCAGAGGAATGCTTATCTGCCGTGCTGTCCAATGTAGCACTGTCATCATGCTATTCCCCGCTCTTTCTTCTTCGAAATCACGACGCTAAGTGTTGTAGAAACACCAACATGTCAAGAGCAGTGTGTCGAGGCTACTTCATAACCACCTACTTTGTCTTGTTTACCCAAAAACCGTCTATCCGGCCAAGCACAAGTCTTAGACGTGCAGCACGCCTCATTTGTATACCAGGTGGTAGTACTGGGCCATGCATGATGTTTGTCGAATTGTCCGATTAAAGGAGGGCCGACCTATTGGGGCCGCGATGCCGACAGATATTCGGTTTCCTGTGCAGACTGCGACATATATCAGGGAGACAGCGGCAACGTCTTTTTCCTATCTCGGTGGCAACCCGTCATATGCAGGATCCTCGCCTCCCGCAAATAACAACAGCTAGCTAACGAAGATATCTCTCTTTCCCTCTCTCAGTCGTGACCGACCGTAACGTGCTGGGCATGAATTCGATGGGTCCGAGCTGCTCATGCTCGCGTGTTCCGGCTTGCCTCGCTTGTCCAAACCCAGGCTCAGAGGTTGCTGCCAAGTCCTGGGTTCTTGCGACGATATGCTATTAATGGCCGTCCGTAAAATCGAAAAGCTTGCTTCTCAACCTTCCTCTGAAGGTTGCGCTACATCCGAGATATGCCTGTCTTTTGCTGCCCGTCGCGGTCCAAAGAGTGCCCCTAAGATTTGCATACGACCGAGTAGCGTAGTCTCATGGCATTCATCAATGTGCCGAACTCGGCCAGACAGCAACAGTTCTTGACCTCACGGGTATCGCGCGGCAGCTGCAGGCGGAGTGGCGCGGCTGCTCGAGAAGTTGCATCGGAATCCCGACAGAACTGCAACACGGTTAGCCTTGCCGGGGTAAATAATGCCGAACCTGGTCTCCAGTTGCAACGGGGGCTTCGCAAGGCAAACCTGGAGTCAAAGCTGTCTTACCTGATGATGCGCCAAAGTTTTCCTACTCCAAGCATTTCCGCATAACCAAGCATGGCGATCCTGAATCATTTCGGGCTGTGCTGAGAAGTGGGTGATTCTTCTGCGTCAAGGGAGCCCAATCGTATCCCTGTTGGCGTCATGTTGGAACGTTGTCTTCTCGCAGTCTTCACGAGCGATTCTTGGTCTTTTACATAGGTAGACTCCATTCAGCCAGTGCCTGAATGCTATGTGAGGCCATCTCCGTGCGTAGCCGCACGGTTGGTCGACACAGATGTCTTGAAACTGCTAGCCGATGCCGGTGCTAACCAGCGCATCTCATCGATCCAAAGGATCAAACCCAGGCGGTTTTATTCAGATTCTCGAGATAACCAAACTTCTTTACTGAGCAAAGATGGCACTCGTGCTCCCCAATGTCAGGGGTGTGAGCAACCAATAGTCCGGTGAGAACGCCTTTGGTTTTCGAATGAAGGAGTCTGGAGTTCCTGATTGGATGCGAAGCCTGCCTCAGAAGCCAGATAGACGTGCTTGCCGGCCCTTCTCTTGGACAATGCACCACTAGGACGAGCGCAACGTGAATGCAAAACCCCTTCATGGGCATAGGAGATGGCCCTGATCGGTGACGGCGCTTTCACTCGCGAGCTCGAAAGGACACGGCCTGAATCACCATAACCCTGAAGTTGCATAGAAGCATTTTAATACCACATTGTCTGGCGAACCTTTGGGACTCGAGGGCTCGCAGGTCGGTATCAGGAGCGAGGTTCATGTTTTGTCGTGATAGCACAGTCTCCCGTTCGTCTCTCTGCTGCTGTAGGGTTCTATTCATGAGACGCACCTGTGCTTTTCAGCGTTTTCCAATATATTCCACTCTTATGGCCTTGACTCTTACATTTATGCGAGAATTCGCAGTGTCGCTGTTCCAAGAGAGATGGACCACCACAGGTCATGGAACACCAGGCGGCAGTGGACATCTTGAGGTCTACGTGCCACGGCAAGTGATTGCTTCAAGCGTGGAAGTCTCTCGAGTCCGGTCCGTTGTGAAAACGTGCAGGAAAGTCAATCGAAGAACAGAGCATTGAGAAAGGGGGCGTGAAATTAACGGTGAGAATTTGAAGACGAGATACCAGCTCCGGAATCGTTGGACCGGCGCAATGGCGACGGCACCCCCACGACGAGCCTGGGGAAGCAATATCCGAGCATGGGTTGTGTCGCAATGGGTAACTCGACGGAATACCTCTTGGACGAGCCATTCTAGCTACTAGTAGTAGGAAGCCTAGACATTTCTCGGAGCAAGGGTAGCGGCGGTAGGACGCCGGGTGTGATGTTAATGAATTCGAGTGATGATGGGTTGCAGTGTTGGTCTGTGACGGTGGTCGAGGCGACATTTTGAGTACTTGAAGGACATGTGCGGCACCACTTCAGGCGATCTCAGATCCGGGGAAGCCGTAAAGGAGGGTTGTCGGAGGGACTCAGAATGAAGGGAGCAAGAAGTGTCTTGTGATGGTGTCGGTGGCGGTGATGGTGGTCTATTCTTGCGAATTAGCAGACCGGATTACACAACAAGAGCAACTCGTGAAACGGAAGGAAAAGTTGTTGGACAAATGCCGGTCTGTGGGTATCAAGCCTTGGGGAATCTCCGTGCCCTACCTCAGGCGAGATGGATCGCATGCCAGATGGGGATCGCAGTTTGCCTGTTGAAGCAGATTTGAGGCAGAAGATTCCATGCGGAGACAGGAACGAAGTAAATGGAGGTCCCGAAAATTTCGTGAAAGGATGTTATGCTTGGCGGTTGCTTGAGCGATGCCGAGTGTCTTGTCCTTAACGGCCAGCCAACCCAGCCATGGCGGTTGGCCTCTGTCGTGTTCGGAGGTGCGTAGAGAGTGTAGAGAGTGCTGATGAGTGTCTACGGTTGCTAAACGGAACCTTGGTGAAGACAGATTGTGGATATGGCATCACCGGAAGCAGTTGCATGCAAACATGTTGAAAGGTAGGTAACGTTCAATATCTGAGATGACTGCTGTTCATCCTCGCCCCACAACCAAGGCCTGGCCTGGATGAAGCAGTACCTACCTAGCTAGGTATGTACGATGATATAGGTACGTACTGATGTTATACAGCACGACTTCTCGAAATAATTGCCTTGCTGCCTCATCTTGAGCTCACTTCCGTTCCTCTTCGCATAAATACCTAAGGAGGTACTTAGGTACCTACCAGGTATCTTAGGTACATGTCTTAGTGTACCTACACTATCCCTACGTACAAAGGGAAAGTTCCCCGGGGCAGTTCTTCCCCCGCTGCTCCTCCACTCTGAGCTGGGTTGTTGCCGACTGATAAGATAAGAGCTTTGGGCCTGAGACGGCAGGTGGGGCCCTCCAGCACATGTGCATATACATGATGGTAGCATGGTTGAGCTCCCAAACGTACCGGTTAAAGTAGCTGAAAGCTTGTACCCTGTACCTCGTCTAGCCGAGTGACGTCTCCTCCCCAACCCACGCCCCGCTAATTCGTTGTCACTGTCGCAGCATCACATGAACCCCTCCGTCGGACCCGTGGACAATCACTCAGACACGACTTGCGCTTTGCTTTGTTTTGCTGACCGTACCTACCTCCGACTCCGAGTTCCCTCCTTCAAACTACTATCCATACCTTGCCTACGTTACATATCGACAGCACACAAGCTCTTGTGGAAACCGACATACAAGACGGTTCCTGCGACGACGACGCCCTGAACACCTCGCGGGCCCCGCGCTGAGCCCCGATCGCACACGCTAATCATGTCACTTTTCACCGCGCAACTGCACCCAGGACGGGCTCTGGGATTTCTCGGTTTGCATGAAATCCATCTGCCATAGGACACTCAGACGCTAACTTTAATGCGTGTCGCCTAGTTCTTGGAGCCTCTTTGCATGATGTCTTGACGCGACTGAAGGCCGAGCCGCAACGTTTTCCACAACTCCATCTCGCCTACTCTCGAGAACTTCCGGTCGAGCAGCCTGTGACTCTAAGCCTTCCCGCCAACGGCATACGCCTGCGCTTCGACGGCCCCGAGCAGCGCTTGCGCCTGATAGAGATTGTCGACTTCACAAAGAATCATGTCACGTTTAAGGACCGCGATCTTGTCAAGCCCGCCAACTCCCAGGGCCCGCCGTCGTCGCCTGTCCCCGGCGAGTCCACCTCCGGACCAACCTTCAGACAAATCTACCACAGGTTGCTCGGACCAACATACGGCGGAGAGTTCATACCGCCAACCCCAGATGCCCCCGACAACCTGGGAAACTACATACTTTCCTACCCCGGAGTTGCCTTTACCTTCCGACTGGCCGAATCGGCATACTCCCCCACCAAGGATGTCGTTTCGCTGCTGTCTTCGGCCCAGAGCCAGGTACCCACCTCCATGGCTGTCTTCAGCGGCGATTCGTGGGCCCAGGCCCGAGAGTGCCTTTGGACCGAGATCCTGCCAAGCGTCAAGACGGTACCTGTTCTTCCAAGAGGGAAGGACGTGGTTCCCGACGAGATATCGCTCGTCAAGATTCACGGGGGTGGAAAGCTACAACTGTTTCGCAAGTGGACCAACTCTTCCATCTGGATCATCCTTGGGGAGACTAGCCCCCAAGAGCTGATTGCGGAGCTTGGCCCCCCAATGCTACATATCGGAAGAACGACCAGAGAATGACGATACACAAGCTTCGGACGGCCAGCCACAGCAGGGCTCGTTCAAACGGTGCTGATCTGCACCGCCCAGACGATCTGACCGATACCGATCAGTCGTCTGCAAACACTGGCTCAGATGACTCCAACGACGAAGCGGTGGAAGAAGACATTGCCGGAAATGTTTCCGGAGAGTGCTTCTACAATTACTTCTACCTGGGCTTTGATGTGCTGGTTTCAACACCTTCGCCGCCATCGAGACCGCCGCCGGCTCAGCACGAATCTCAGGTACCGCCGAGCAAGCCTATCAAGTCGGAGTCTCCCGACCGCTTGGTTGCCACGAAGTTGGTTCTCCACGGCAACGTTCCTGGCTCGTACGAGTTCAATAGACACCGCCGTTGCCGCTGGGAAGTCAGCTATCTTGACGACGGTTCCCCTGGCACGGCAGCAAACTCGGAGACGAAATTCACAGAGATCAAGGATAGACTGAACGAACGATGGAACAGCGCGCACCCGGAAGGCGACTCCAGAGCTCCTCAAAGAGGCATGGTTCTCAACCGGGGCTGGGGGGATAGCCCCGGCAGCAGCTGCGAATTCCTTGGAGGCTGGGAGGACAGCGGCGCCAAGAGACTCGATGGCAGCGACGATTCCACCACCACACTATTTGGGTTCCCCGGTCTCGTGTTTGAGGTGCTGAAGAACGATCATGTCAACACGGTGACTGTGTTTTAGAGTTTGGACTGGGCATTAAACCGGCAGCCAGCTGTTATGGCCATGCTGCGAGCGGATTCGCTGCGGCCCTGGCCGGGGACACGAGGCTAGACGATAAACTACGATATCCCTACAAGAAGCTTGGCTTATGCTCAAATCCAGATGCACCTTGGCACACCACCACCACCTCCCTTTTAGGCTCCGTTGTTGGGCTTATCCGCCAACTCAACATGGAACAGCAATGACGTGGATGCTGCCAGATTCCTCGTTTGCAAGGCTTCTTCAACCATCCACTTGCAAGAGTCCCATCTGATTTCGCCCTTCATGCAAGCCAGAGATGGGACAGTTGAGCTTTGTCCTCGCTTTACTTTACTCCTCGGTCTGAGTCGGTTTATGTTTCGGGAGCCAAGGGCATTGCCACCAGCACCTACCACGTTGTAAAGCTCTAGCAGCTAGCTCCGAGCAGGCCGCTTGTGTCCAAGACAGGTTCGTACACGGCATCGAAAATAATAAATAATACAGATAGAAGCCTCAATGATCCCCGGGACAGCATAGAACAGTTCACTCTTGGAATACCCAGCGATACCCCCCGAAGATACCCCCCCATATACCCCCATATACCCCCATATACCCCTTCCCCATTTCGCACTGCCCACAATGACTGCTGCTGCATCGGGTCAGAAGGCCAAGCAGAATGCTTTGGCTCTCAAGCGATACCTTCCGCGCAAGCTCAGGGAGGCTGCCGAAGACGAGGCCGCGGTGGAGAAGGGAGTCGGACACGACTTGACCATTTACAGCTTCGACCGCCCCAACGGCCAGTACGGATACACGCCTTTCTCGATCCAGTTGCGCTTCCGTCTTCGCCACGCCGGCGTCCAGCATAAGGACCGTGCTGCCAATATCTTCCAAGCCCCCAAGTACCGAGTGCCGTACGTCAAGCTTGCGGATTCGGACGAGCTCGTTGGCGAGACGCAGTTTGTCATCCAGCGGCTGGTGCAGACGGGCAAGCTGCCGGACCTCAACAAGGAGCTTTCCCCCGCCGACCAGGCCAAGGATGCTTGCATCCGAGCCATGTTGGAGGACCGCGCTTACTTCCTTGTCGTAAGAAGCCCCGCCTGGCGCACTACGGCGGAGTCTAGAGAAGACTGCTGACCAGATACACACTTTTAGCTGTACGAAAGATGGCGCGGCCAGTTCGACACGATGTGGAACGACGGTCCGTTTGCGCACTTCGTCTGGGGTGCGAAGCAGATTTCGACCCAGGCGGCCCGCGGCTACGTCAATTCGCAGCTATGGTTCCAGGGTGTCGGTCGCTACAACAACGATGAGGTCAAGAAGTTCGCCTCGGAGGTCATCATGTCCATCAACGGCTTCTGCGAGACGTCGCTGTCAAAGCTGAGTCTAGACTCGCGAGAGTCTCGGGAGCCTTTCTGGATCCTCGGCGGCCAGCGCCCGTCCGAGGCCGACTTCGTCGTCTACGGCAACCTTGCCACCATCATGGGCACCAACGTGTAAGTGACTGACTGGCTCCTCATATCCGATGACGAACAGCCGGCAGGCCTCGAGGGCGAAGCGTGCTAACGAAAGGGACACACACACACAGGAACCCGGTGCATGCCGCGCTCATCCGCGAGAAGCCCGCGCTGGTCGAGTACGTTGGCCGCATCCACGAGCGTTACTTTGGCGAGTACAAGTCTCCTGTTCACTCTTGAGATGGTTAGGATGAGATACCACGATACGCGAGGTCACCCAACCGAAGGATGTCCCCGCGGCGTACGTTGTTGGTTTCGAGCCCGGCACGCACACGGATGCGGGCTCTGCGCTTGAATTTTGCATGATTTCTCTCCTTGGCTGTACAGAAGGCAGATGGAAGCTTGGAAAGGGGGGGAGGGGAAGGGGGCGACATTGGTCAACAGGCCCCCTCCCCGTTAGGAGCGCAGCAAAATACCTAACTCGAGTGTTCTTAATCTACCCTAGAGCGTAATAACCTGTTTCTTGACAACCTCTGCGTCTACCGCTGGTGTGTGTCTGTGTGTGCTCACGCATCGTGCTGTGCTGACATGGGGGGACCTGGACGGGGGCGCGGCGCATGTGATTTGCATGAAATGCAGCAACGTTGACAATCGACAGACACATGCAGAGAGGGGCGACATTAATGCCGTTAGCGCTAGTCGGATAAGTTCGTCAAGCTGTTGTTGAGCCATATGGTCCAGGCCGGGAAGACCCTTTCAGATACATTTGGCGGTCTGAATGCAACGCGGAGAGTGGGACTCAGCGGGAATCGAAGCCCCCCCCCGTGTTCGATTGCCGGGCTTAGCGCGCTCAACGCCCTTTCAAAAGGGTTGAAAGGGTCCCCCCCACCCCCGTGGCTTGGGAGCCTTGCAACGTTTTCGTAGCAGACAAACGAGAGACAAAGAAAAGAGCCTTTTGTCTGCTAAGGCGTTGGCAATCCCACGGCGGCGGGCTACCCCCTACCACGTCCACCGCCACCGCCATTTATCCAGATGGAAAGAATACTACGGGTCTACAGGATATTCCGTTCCGACGATTGCCGAATTGGGTGGGGTTTATCCCTCTTGCAGCTGTGGGGGACGGGCGGGTGGAGTTGGTAGCTCGTGCGTTCGGTTCGGCTGCAACGCCACGGTAGAGCTACTACCACCTGGACTTGAACGATGGGGGAGAAAGGGAACACTAAGCTGTGGTTGGGAACCCTGGAAATGTCCGTGTGTTGCTGGTGCTGGTGCTGGTGCTGGTGCTGCTGCTGGGCTGTGGGCGGACTACACCAATTAATTACCTACGTTGTGCCGTATGTACGGATAGTTGTACGAATTACTTCCGTATGTACACACTGACTACGACCACGAACAATCCCGGGGCCGCGAGATCGACGCCATCCATCCATTCATCCATCCATAAAATCCTATGCCCAACTGGCACATGTCAATGCCCTGTTTCGGCTCGGACGAGTCAGCGCCATCGTCTCCAAAATCTTCGTCACCTCTAATCCCTCCACACAGCCGATCTGTACTGAACCACCACCACCACCACCACCCCCTTGCAACGAAACCGAGGACCATGACACTCGCCATCTGCTAACCTCCCTCTGTTTTTTTTTTTTTTTTTTTTTTCAACCATTTTCTTCTTGCTGCCCTCACCATCTGACTCGGTGCATGCATGCATGCAAGCACTGCCAACGACCGGCCGCGAGAGAGAGCGACACCGATAGCGACCAACCAAGACCGAGACCACGACCACGACGATAGCGACTCCGACCCCGACTCCGGCGACGGCTTGCTGAAATTCAAGACTCCGCGACGGCCATGCGAGCATCTCCGCCGTCATGACGGAGAAGGATGCCGCCCAGCAGCGTGCCGTTCTCGCGAGGAGGCTGAGCCCACACTCCATGCCTGGCGATAGGGGAAGCAGCAGCAGGGGTAGCTACGAGACAGGCGAGTCGAGCACCGCCGGGAGTGTTGTCAACGACACAACCCTCTTGCCGTCGCTCGACGAGTCGACCGGTCGCCGCATACATTCGTCGAGCCCCCGAGAGGCCGAAAACACAAACGGCTACCATGGCAAGGATGCGAGAAAACACCGGGCGCATAGGCATCGCTCCAACGGAGCCTTCCTGCTACAGGATGCCATCCGCAATGACGACGATTCCGATGGCGACCAAGGGCCTCGCCTTCGTCACGTACGCAACCTTCCGCCCGTCCGCAGGACACAAGACTATGGGAAAGCATCAGACAAGTTGGGATCCAGCACTGGCCGCGACGCCGGGCTTGGCATCTCACCGCTGGATAGTCCGCCGAGACGAAACGGTAACACCTCGCCAACGCACCCTACACACAATCCCGCCGCCGTCCGGAAACGAGATGCCTCAAATGGCAGGCCTCTCTCGGGATCGAGCTTCATGTCCGCCACGAACACCCCGCTCGATATCGACTCTGCGCAGATTGTGAACATGGCCCTGAACCTGAGCGAATCAAGGAGACAGGTCTCGCGGAGGATAGCACCGCCCCAGGCGGTTCCGACTCTGGCCCACCTTCCTGACGCCACGACGGGCCCCAACCTCAAGAACCATTTACAGCAGCAGAGGAGAATATCGCGAACGAGGTCTCCAGGTCCCGATCGGGCGCTGACGCCGCGCCTCCCTTCTATCGGGATCCTGAGCAGCCCACTGCAGGCGACATTCGACCTGGGCCGCGAGGGCACCTTTCGCAATCACTTCACTGCGTCGACCTTGGCACGAGCGCAAAAGGCCAAGGAGCATTTGGAGCTCATGGCCCAGTACCGACGTCTCCTGGAGCTGGTGCCACCCATACAACCGCCTCATCATAATCATCATCATAATCACCATCATCATCATCACAGCCGTCCGACAACCGCTACCCCCCCGAACTCCTCAGGAGGTATTGCTAAAATCCCGACCTATGGCAGCGCCGAGGGTAGCGTGCGGCTTGGGCGGCCGTACAACCCATTGCAGTACATTCGAAACAGAAAGGTTCGAGCCCGAGAGCGCAAGGCCATCGACGGGGAGCGCCAGGGGTTCGGTGACATAGTAAAGGTTGCCGATTGGGTCGACGAGGTGGCCAGATGGGCCGCCACAGGTCAAACAAGCGCAGAGGGCTGCACGCTTCCGCCCTTCGCTGACGCAGATGCCTCGGAACGGCAGAATGCTACTCAGCTGGCGGCCAACGCTAACAAACCAAGAAGGCCCAGGCTCGACTGGGTCATAGATGCGGCGGACCTGCTGGCCGATGCGTACTGGTTGGAGCAGGACCATCACAAGCAGTTAATCGAGGACCGTCACTGGCGGCGCATATTTCCCCAGCACGTCGACCTTCACAGACCCCTGTCGAGGCAGAACGAGGAGTACGGGAGCGAATCCGGGCAAACACCAGGGCACAAAGAGAACGAAGAGTCTTTGCCTGCAAGCGAACCCAGGACCAGCAACCCGAAGCTGGCCAAGTCGGATACGGACCACTCTACGACCAGCGCTCGGGACCGCGCTCGTCAAAAGCTGCATGATCTTACAGGTCATCATCACCACCACCGCCACAGCAGCTCGATGCATAGCCATCACGACTGGCGGCACGGGAAGGCATCCTCGGACCTATCGGACAGCGAGAACGAGGGGAAGCCCAAGAAAGATAGGAGGAATCGGGCAGACACACTCACCAGCAGTCACCAAGACATCCTGGAAAAGCAGATGCTCGAGATGATTGCCATGGAGGCCAGAGAGAACGGCCACCAAAAGCCACAGGGATCGGGTTACGTGACGCCAGAGCGGAATGTCGGGGATAGGTCGCACCCGCAGTCCCGGCAACACAGCCGAAAGCCGTCCATCGCCGAGTTCAGCGAGTCTGACGAGAGGAAGAGCAAGGAGAAGCCTCGCTTCACCCCGGTGCACCTCCAGCGCCCGACAAGGGCCAGCCTGGAGATCCCGACGACGCTTGGCAGGCGGAGCTCGTTTGAGATTGACTCGTCGCTGCCCAACTCACCCGACGGCGCCGCGCGCGGAGACCCTTTCATCCCGGCGCTTGGCGGAGATCTTTCGGCAGCATCTAGCCGTGCCAACTCTCCGACCCGAAACCCCTTCACCAAGGTCAGGCAGATCTTCCGCGAGCGCAGTAGGGAACGGGCCGGCGACCGCATCTCGGAAGAGAAGTCGAGCGCCGAATACCTGCCCAGCGCCCCCAGGACACCGTTCGAGGCCTCGCCGGAATCGTCGGGAGAGCGCAGGTCGACAGACAGGCGGGGGTCGTCCAGAAGCCCACCCCCTCACAAGTTCGTGCAGCGTCAGACGGGCGAGAGCCACAAGTCCCATCGCAGCATTACTAGCATCAAGCTGCGCAGCGACGAACCTGGCGTTCGAGGCATTTTCAGAGGAGCCCGTATCGACAATGTCATCCGCGGCAGCGTATCAAAGCTCGGGGACCTGATCTGGCGTAAGGAGTCGGACGTTGGCGATGTTCCTTCTGAGGCGGAGGGCACGACGACGGACGAGTCGGACGCGGAGCAGAGGGGCAGAAAGAGAGGCGAGACGCCTCTGTCTCGAACAGCCTCGATTAGAAGCCAAGGAATGCGCCAACAGAACCCCAAGACCTACTTGGACGTCATGCCCACCTTTGAGCCCACGTCTCAAGACAGGTTGAGGCACACGCAGAGCGAGCCATTAGATCTGCCGGAGACTTCGCCGCCCTCGGCGAGCCGTAAGTCGCCTCGCTTCGACAGGCTCAAGCCGCCACGTATCGACATCATGAGCGCGTCGCCGACCTCGTCAACCGGCTCAGCAGCCAAAAGGTTATCAGACGTCTCCGAACTGGAGCCTCTGTCCGGAGGGCGCATCCCCGGCGTGAAGGAAGCGGACAAGCGCTTCAAACCTATCATCACCGTGTCACCCTTTTCACCTGGCGGACGGGCCAGATCTGGGTCCAACCGCAGCCGACACTGGTCGATCTCGGACTACAGCCCGGCGCCGGAACGAGCTCCCATGTCGAAGCGAGAAATCGCCCGCCTGCGCGCTCTGGTTTTGAGCTCCGGCATCAAGGCCATGGAGATTACGCGCCGCGCCAACGAGCCCCACGCCGTGTTCGCGGGTCGGCAAACGCCGTCGCAGAACGACCTCCAAGTCGCCAACATCTTTTGGCCCGAGATTGCGAGACTGAGTCCCGACCCCGACGGTGTGCGCAAAAAGGCCGTCCCCCAGACGGAGCTCTACCAGTTCGCCGCCAAAACCCTCGACAGCTCCATCAGGTGCTCCGGCCAGGAGTGGCAAAAGACGGCCGACCTCTTCGTGTCCGACACGGTGCCCGCGCTGCACCGCCGCGTCGAAGACGTGCGCCGGCGCGTCGCCACGGACCTGTCGGCCATGACGCGCGCGGCGGCCGACGAGGCCGACGAGACGAGCCGCGACCTCACGCTGGGCCAGAGGCTGAAGATCAAGCACACGCTCGACGTCATCGAGACGATGTTGCGGCGGCGGCGGCGTAGGTTCCGCTGGGTCCGTCGCGCCATGTGGCTCGCCGTCGAATGGGTGCTCGTGGGCTTCATGTGGTACGTGTGGTTCGTCGTCATGATCCTGCGGGTGTTTTGGGGCGTCGGGAAGGGCGTCGTGGGGGCCGTGAGGTGGCTGCTGTGGCTATGAGCTAAGCCCACGCCGTCGGCGAGGTCTGACGTCTGTCTGCCTTTGTTTCCCCTCCCCTTTGTGTGTTTTTACGAGCAACATCTTCTCCCAGTCTGTGCCCGCCGCCCACATCCTTTCCATATCCCGAGTATTATTAGCGTGGCCGTTTCATCATCAGCACTGTCATTATGATGCATAGCAGACGGAGCAGAGATTCCGCAGGCGTCCCGGGAAAGTTCATGCGTCGAACCGGCATCATTCAGTTTCAACATATCACACACCCTTCCCTCGCCCGCCCTCACCTTTTTTTTTCCGGGGTTTTTTGAATACAATGTTGGGGAGTCGGGATAACAAAAACAATAACGACATCAACAATAACAACAACCAAACTGGAGACGATTGTGGACTGAGAGCCTAGGGGGGGCAGGCTTGTGGAAGAGCAGACAGATGGGAGGATGATCTGGAGACGGAAGGGAGAAGGAGGTGATGATACCCGAAAGGAGAGAGAGAAGAAGAAGAGGAAGAAGAAGAAGAAAAGGGAGCGAGGACCGAAAGCCACCCTCCTTCACCTGACCAGCCGGCTCTTTCAGCAGCCCGACTCGGCTTTTCTTGTTGCTTTGCTCGCATCCCCCTCATTTTCCAGCGGCAAGTTGCGTATACTATAATTTTTTTTTCTTCTCATTTTCTTTTCGCGGCCCTTCTTCATGTGCCTGTTCACCCCCTCCCTCTCTTTTGGACGGCACACGAGTAATTGGGGGCGAAAGGGGGGAAGGGGGGGGGGGGGGTTTGAGGGAAGGACTTTTGGGCGGTCTGCAGGAAAGGAGAAAGCCTTTTTCTTTATTACTATTATTACTTTGAATGTACCCCCTTGTTTCGAGAAACAAGTCGACGAATTAGGCGCCGGATATATACATATAATGATACATACCTAGTTTTCCCTCCTTTTCCTCATCCGCCACCCCCCCTCCCCCATTCCCCCATCGCGCCGCGGGACGGAAAGGGGACTGACTGACCAGCGCATAACTTGGGCCGAGGGGGAGAGAAGGATGGCCGTACGGTAGATGGGCATGCGAGATTGAACAAGTCAACGGGAGGGGACGAGCACGCATGCTCTTTTAGGCCGAGGACCCTTGTTGAAGGATGAAGGCGGCGGCGGGCTGAACTGGGAGAAGAAAGAGAAGTAACGGTAGCAGCAGCAGCAGCAGCAGCAGCAGTAGTGTGTGTTATTCAGTTCTAAGAAAAGGCCTTTAATTCTTTTGGTGACATCTTCCCCGTGTACGATGCCCAAGTGTGGAGGAGACGGAAGGGGGGGGAGGAAAAAACTAAACCCATCCTTTTAACTGAAAAGGGAAGCCGAGGATTTTCTGCATGACCCTCTCTCCTGGACAGATGCGATGCCCGAGAGCAACAGCACAAGCCCCTCCCGTTTCCGTACGTCTAAAAACGGTGTGTGGCGAGGATCCCTTTTATTTTCATGTGGGAAAAAGTCGTGCGCAACACAAGACGAATGACGAAATGGAACAAGGGAGTGGGGGATTCCGACACCCCATATACATCCGAGAACAGTAAGAGAACAAATAGAATTAAAGGGGGAGGAAAAAAAAAAGGACTTGAAAACCCGCCCCCTCTCTTATTCGATTCTCTTCTTGCCCTCCTCGGCGTTGAGATATCTCGCGGTGCTGAGACCCCGCTCGTGATGGGCGACGAAGGAGCCCAGGACGGAGTCCTTGCGGGCCTTGGACATGTGCTCGGCGTAGCCGTCGTTGGCCCACGGCCTGGGGTTGAGCTTGGGCCAGTTGACCTGCGCGGATTTGTGTTAGCCGATTGAGACGATACCACCCACCAAAGAGAGAGAGCGAGAGAGAGGGAGGGAAAGAGAGAGCAGGACGTGGGAAACCTACATAGAGCATGCCGTGGCCGAAGATGAAGCTGGCGCACCAGGCGGCGACGGCGAGCCAGAAGAGGATGAAGACGCGGATGGTGACGACGGCGTCCGTCTTGGAGAAGAGGCCGACGAGGACGAGGAAGACGGAGAAGGCGAGGAGGTAGGGGACGGACTGGATGAGGATGGGGCGGCGGTCGGCGAAGACGAGGGCGCCGCCCATGTTGGCGGTGCCGGGGGAGTAGACGCCGAGGAAGAGGTCGTACGAGTCCTGGCGGGGGCCGTCGAAGAAGTTGTTCTTGAAGTAGCGGGTGACGCCGATGCGGGCGTCCTGGAGGGCGCCGAGCTTCGTGCGGTTGCCGGTGCGGGTGACGTCCGTCTTCATGGCGCCGGTGCCCGAGTAGGAGCAGGAGACGACGTCGGCGTTGTCGGCCCACAGGTTGCGGAACATGTGCTCAAAGGCCGGGTCCTCGTCGCGGAAGGAGGAGCCGCGGGTCATGAGGCCCATGTCCGCGAAGATGCGGTCGAGCATGTGGCGGGCGAACATGGACTGGACGACGTTTGTGCGGTCGAGGCAGTCCATGCAGTTGGTACGCATGACGCTGGTCTGGAAGCCGCGGGGCTCGAGGCGGCCGTCGTTGGCGGCGCCGGGCATGTCGACGGCGCGGAAGTAGCCCTGAGCGTCGAGGGCGCCGCGGAGCTTCTCGACGAGGGCGTAGGCGCGGTGCATCTTCATGCCCTTGGTCTCGTGGTGGTAGTCGAAGTAGACGTAGTGCAGGCGGTCGAACTCAACGGCGCGCTTCTCGGGCTGGATGACGGTGAACTTTTCGTCGGTGACGCGGTCGCCCTCGGTGCGCTCCTTGGGGGAGGAGACGAGCTTCTCGACCATCTGCTCGTACGAGGCCTTGACGCGCTGCTCGCGGCCCTTTTGGTTGACGAGGTTGATGAGGTAGTTGTCGCCGTAGATGCGGATCTGCTCCTCGAAATGGGCCTTGGCGGCGGGGAGGGCGCTGTCGATGCCGCGGATCTGCAACTTTGGAACGTAGCGCAGGCTGTTGATCTCGGCCCAGTAGGTGGGCACACTGCCGCGGGTCTGGACGTAGGACATGATCTGGGTCTCGCTGCCGGCGGCGCCCCCACCGCCGTACTTGCCGCTCTGCATGTCGCTGCTGCCGGCGAAGCCGCCCATGGCACTGCCAGAGTCGTTGAAGATGGTGATCTGCTCCGTCTCGTTGTAGTTGGCGGCGTGGCCCTCGTCGTCGACGCCGCGGGTGAAGTATCGGGTGCCGCCGCGGTGCCTGGAGCGGCGGGAGATGAGGGCGACGGTGACGGGGGTGCCCTTGAAGGTGGTCGGGCGGATCTCGAGCATGCCGAAGATGACGGGCAGGATAAAGGGGTCGACGGCGGGCTGGGGGCCGGGGTGGCCTCGGGCGCCCTTTGTGCGGAAGTCGATGAGGTCCGAGTGGATGAAGCGGTTGAAGAAGAAGCGGTCGTCGGCGCGCTGCCAGAGCGGGAGGGAGGTGTCGGCCGAGGCCTGGCGCTGGAAAGAGTTTGTGAGGTCGAGGGAGTAGGAGAGGTACATGGGGCCGTTCTTCATGAAGGTGTTGAGCAGGCCGATGAAGGTGTCCTCGTCGGGGTCTCGGATCTGGCGCTCGCGCATAGGGAGGATCTCGGTGGCCATGACCTTGTAGACCATGTGGCCCTTGAGGCGGCCGACGGGATTGGCCTTTGTGATGACAATGACATACTTGTCTAGGCGAGGGCGGGAAGCGTCAGCGCAGCTCTCGGCAGAGGGGGAGGGAGAGACGAAGGTCGATGGAGGGGGGTTCTCTCACCAAGTCTGAGCTGGACGATGCCCAAGATTCCGGCGATGCTGGATACCCGGGATACCCTCTTGCTTTGGCCAGCATCTCCGAGGCGCAGGTCTCCGGTCGGGCGGTCGATGACGAGGGCGGGAGCATCAGGCGACGAGGGGGAAATGAAGACGTAGGAATCGGGGGCGACCTTGACATTGATGTCGCGATAAGGTAGAGTCGGTGCCATGACGAGGGTGGAGGGGTCGGTTTGAGGCGGAGGAATAGGGTGGTATTGAGTAAGAGAAGAAGAAGAAAAAGAAGTAGAACAAGAAGAAGCAAAGGGCTGGAAGGACCAGACAGAAGAAGGAAGAAAAGGGGGTGAAGTGAATGAAGCCTCGATAATGTCCCCCTCTTGGTATCGTCGTCGACTGCCGCAAAAGGCTTGGAGCTATTCGCAACGCAACACTATCTAACTTGGCAAGCGTTGATCAGCTTGAGGACAGACAGACAGCTTGCGGATTTGGTTGGTCACAGATGGTGGTGAAGGCCAATCAAAAATGGGTGTCGTCACTTTGCAGTCGCCAATACAGCTGGGTTACCCTGGGGCCCTCGAGCTTCTGGTTCAGTTCCAGGTTCCACAGGGGGGGGGGAACACGGCACAGGCCCCCCTCCGTCACCATGTTCTGTGTTCTGCACCCATGCGATGCGCGCCTGCTGTGCTATGCTGTGCTGTGCTTTACACAGCACCATGTCCGTATGTATCTATGTCTAGATGTAGGAGGTACTCTGACTACCAATGTATTTCATGGTCTTGCTTGTACACGCATCTGCATCTGCGTACCGGTAGTTCTGCTTCTTGCTGTTGCACAGGAGTCGACTGGGACCTGTGAGGAACTCATGGCTTGTGAAAGAGGACAGGGGTACTTGCTGTACGGCTACCTGGATACCTGTCGTGTAAGCGAGGGAGCTTTGGACCAATGAGATGGTAGGAAAGGGACGAATTACATAAGATGCAAAAGAACGTACATGCCTGTATCCGTACTCCGTACTCCGTGCACAGAGTACATTCCTAGGTTAGGTACGGAGTAGTTTACCTATGCCACCTGTGTGTTTACATAAGCCGCTCCCTGGACCCCCTGTCAGCTCCCACCCCATCAACTCAGTCAGCCCGACGTTGAGGTCAGAAGCCATCGGGGGGGGGGTCATAGTCCTCCCCGTCCGTCTGTTTGCACCTGACAGACAGCCCGCCCACCCAACTGCTGGCAGGTCTTCCAGGTGGTCTGCACCGCTACGCAGAAGGCCAAGTACCCACACCCATACCCATACACCATATCCGTACTCCGTACCATACAGCTTTACTCGGTATAGCAGGTGCATGTTTTGGGTATCCCAATCCTCTCCCCCCCAGCCATTTATTCCATCACTGTCGCCCGTCCACACGTACCTACACTAGGCTGTACGTACCGTACACTCACTGCCTGCCATAGCACAGGCAGTCCCATTATTTCCAACCGAACGGACCCGTTTTAATTGCCATCTTTCTTTGTACACTGCCATCATCCTCCATCCATCCATCCATCCAACTGCCTTGCCCTCCGCTGCTTCCCACCTTACATTCCACCCCGTGCCGACCTCAGACTCACCCCTCCTGCCGCGCAACCCACGATCCTGGAATCCCGAACCCACGATTGCTGCTGTCGCCTTTTTCTTTTCTTTTTCTCCTCTCCCCCTCCGCGACCGTCGACCTGAAGCATTCTGCCCTGCCCTGCTCTGCTCTGCTCACCTCTCGCAAACATTCCACCCAACCTAATCCGACCTCTTGTCCGTTTCGACAACCTTTTCGGAGCCCGACCGACTCGACTTCCCCGTCTGGCGACATTTCATCGACGCCGTCCAGCCATCTCCATCTCTCTTCTTCGCCCCGTCCCACCCAGGATAGGATCGCTCAACGTCGTCCTTCCCCTACTCATCCTCTACATCACGCAAAAATGGCAGCTCGAGGCCCTGGTGCTCCCGGTGCTCGCGGAATGAACACGCGCTTTGCCCAGTTCAAGCTCGTCTTGCTTGGTACGCAAATATTCCCCACCCGTACCATACCGTACTGTTTGTTCCCCATTAGGACAAAGATGGCTAACCTTCATGATGTACAGGCGAGTCCGCCGTTGGAAAGGTATTTATCCGCAGCTCAGGGAATAGCTGCCCATTGTACTGACGTGCTCCTCAGAGTTCCATCGTGCTGCGATTCGTCAAGGTATGTGCTCGGTGCATGCCGCCGCCGTCGCCGCCGCCGCCGCCCGCCTTGAAAAGAAGCCGCCTGCTAATCGCTTTTCCAATAATCGTAGGATCAGTTTGACTCGTACCGCGAATCCACCATCGGCGCCGCCTTCTTGACACAGACCATCTCTCTCGACGAGAACACCACGGTCAAGTTCGAGATCTGGGATACCGCCGGACAGGAGCGATACAAGTCTCTCGCCCCCATGTACTACCGCAACGCCAACTGTGCCGTCGTCGTCTACGACATTACCCAATCGGTACGTCACACCGTGTCCATGCATCCTGTCCATGCATCCATCCTGTGGTTAGCACGCTAACGGTGCCCAAGGCATCTCTGGACAAGGCCAAGGCTTGGGTCAAGGAATTGCAGAGGCAAGCCAACGAGAACATCATCATCGCCCTCGCCGGCAACAAGCTGGACTTGGTCACGGAACAGCCCGACAAGCGAGCCGTTTCCACAGAAGAAGCCGAGGCCTACGCCCGCGAGGCCGGCCTTTTATTTTTCGAGACGTCGGCCAAGACGGCCGAGAACGTCAAGGAGCTCTTCACGGCCATCGCCAAGAAGCTGCCGCTTGACCAGGCCGGCCCTAGGCATGCCCGCCCCGGACAGCGACAGGGCGTCAGCCTGCAGCCCGAGACCCCCGGAAGCAACGTCGGCGGGCCTTGCAGCTGCTAAACGACGACGAAGACGACGACGACGACGCAAAACGAATATCGTGTTATCAACCGAGCCCAGAGAACCAACCGGTGGACGGCGGGGCGAAGCTCTTTTCTTTCTTTTTTCCCTTCCTTTTCGTCGAGACGAGGCAGGCTCCCGTTGGCAGATTGCTCAAAGCCGACCCGTTAGCCAAGCACTGAACAAACACCACCAGCAGCACGTACACGACGGCGTTTAGGGCTGGACGGGATCGGACAGCGTTGTCGCGCACCCTACACCGAACTAAGGGGGAATGCCAGACCCAGCCTTTGTTTTATTTAATATCAACAGGACGTTTTTCTTCGTTTTGAGAATGGTTTTGTTTTTCTTTTTTTAACTACATTTTGTGTCTTCATTGCGCTGGTCATTCGGTTGCGGCAACTGGGGTGTAGGGCAGTCCTGGAATAAGACGGTGTACGGGAAACGGACGGATTCACTTTACTGGGGAAAGCATCCTGCAGCATTTGCTTGGTTTTTTTTTTTTTTCTTTTTTCTGATGTACAGTATGCAATAGAGGCAACTGTTTTATCAAGGATGTGCCGTATACAAACCCTTTTTTGACTTGTTTCGTTGTTGTAGGCCAGTCAGTCGATGTGTTTTGTGAGGTTGATCAAGAAAAGTGAGAGAGAGACGTGTGTATATGTCGAATTCCAGCATCGCCATCTTTGCCTCTGGTAGGGAGGCAAGGAGGGAGGCAGAGGTACCGTGGGTAAGGTGCCTTAGGTAAGGCAAGGTACGTACCTGCTGGCAATTACCTGCTATTAAGAGCATCAACAGTACCTACCTACCTGGAGATACATAGGTAGGTAGGTAGGTAATCTGGTCCTGATAGCGATGAAATCGACAACAAGAAATGGTAATAGCGGGTGTGTCCAGTGAGTGAGTGACCCACACTGCAGTGCAGTGCAGTGCAGTGTACGGAGTAGTGACGTGAGGCCTGCCGCCCAATCCCGGTTCCTGCCGCTCGGTGCTCAGCGCGGCTACGGCAGAGAGAGAGCTTTGCCTGCTCTCACCTCTTACTTGCTCGCTTTTAGCCGAGCTTTTTCCCTGAGCTTTTTGTGCCTGGCTTCCATCACCTACCTTGAACCAAAAAAAAACATCTCGACTCTATCCCTCCCCTCCCCTCCCCCCAATTACGCCTTGTCGGCCAATCGCATCACCTCATGTTGCGAACGTCGATTCGATCCGTGAGGGTGCTCGGCCACAGGCCTGCGGCGGCCGTTGTTGGCCGCCAATGGCAGCCCGCCGCCGCCGCCGCCGTCCGCCGGAGACACTTTGCCGACGACAAGAAGCCTGTTGACCCGTCCAGACCAGCTGCCCTACCGACCACCGAGACCGTCACCGCCGAGAAGAGCGCCGTCCCCGAGCTGGGAGCCGCCGAGCCGACGATCCCCAGGACGGAAGTTCCCCTCACTCCCCCGACTCCGGACACCGCTGCCGTTGCCGCTGCCGCTGCCGCTGCCGCACCTCCGCCGCAGTCGCCCGCAGCCGCCGCCCCCAAGAAGAAGGGCTTCTTCCGCCGATTGAGAAACCTGGTGTTGACCCTTGCCATCCTCAGCGCCATCGGCTTCGGCGGCGGCGTCTGGTACTCACGCATCAATGACAGCTTCCACGACTTCTTCACCGAGTATGTTCCCTTTGGCGAGCAGGCCGTCCTCTACTTCGAGGAGGCCGACTTCCGCAAGCGCTTCCCCAGCATCACCAACAAGCTCAGGGGAAGAGATACGGGCAGCCAAGTCACGGTCCCCGCCCAGAGCGGCGCCTCTTGGAGGGTTGCCGACAACGGCGAGCCCGCCGGTCGCCAATCGAGCGCCGTCGGCAAGGCCGCCGCCAAGGTCGCAGCCGTCAAGGAGGAGCAGCGCAAGCCGGCCCAGAAGCCCAAGGTGGTGCCAGAGCCCCCCAAGCCCGCTCCCGAGCCCATCAAGGAGACCAAGCCCGCCGCTGCCGCGCCCGAGCGAGGCACGACTGATTTCAAGCCCCCCGAGGTCAACGAGCCTTCGCGCTTTCCCCCCATCGCCCCGATCGACCCTCTGAAGATCGAGGACGCGACCGAGCCCGTCGTCCAGGACCTCGTGCACATGCTCAACGATATCATCACCGTCATCAACGCCGACAAGGCCCACGGCCGCTACTACCCCACCATCGACAAGGCCAAGGGCGAGCTCGGCAAGGTCGGAAGCAAGATCAAGGCCATCAAGTCCTCGGTCGAGCAGGGGGCCGCCGCCGAGGTGCAGTCCAAGGTTGCCGACTTCGACAAGGCCGCCAACGACCTCATTGCCCGGGTCGAGTCGGCCATGATTGCCCAGGAGGCGCAGTGGCGCAGGGAGTTCGAGGACGAGATGAACAAGGTCAAGGCGAGCTACGACGAGCGCGTCAAGCTCGTGCTGCAGCGCGAGAAGCAGCTCAACGAGGAGCGCCTCAACAACCAGCTCCTGGAGCAGGCGCTGGCGCTGAAGAAGGAGTTCGTCTCCGAGGTGCAGAAGCACGTCGAATCCGAGCGCGAGGGCCGCCTCGGCAAGCTGGACGAGCTGTCGGCCGCCGTGGCCGACCTCGAGAAGCTCACGACGGGCTGGAACGAGGTGGTGGACACCAACATGCGCACCCAGCAGCTCCACGTCGCCGTCGACGCCGTCCGCGCCAGCCTCGAGAACGCCGCGCACGCCAAGCCCTTCACGCGCGAGCTCGTCGCCCTCAAGGAGATTGCTGGCGAGGACCCCGTCGTCAACGCCGCCATCGCGTCCATCAACCCGGCCGCCTACCAGCGCGGCCTCTCCAACGCGGCGCAGCTCGTTGACAGATTCCGCATAGTCGCCGGCGAGGTCCGCAAGGCGTCGCTCCTCCCCGAGGAGGCCGGCGTCGCCAGCCACGCTTCCAGCTACCTCCTCAGCAAGGTCATGTTCAAGAAGCAGGGCCTGGCCGACGGCGACGACGTCGAGAGCATCTTGACGCGCACCCAGACTCTCTTGGAGGAGGGCAACCTGGACGCCGCCGCGCGTGAGATGAACGGTCTCCAGGGCTGGGCGAAGACGCTGAGCAGAGACTGGCTCGGCGAGGTGAGGAAGGTTCTCGAGGTTCAGCAAGCCCTTGATGTGAGTATTGCCCTTGATTGCCATTATTTTCTTCCTTTTGTTTTCCCCCTCCACTCGACACTAGCGACTGACGACTCTCTCTCTCTCTCTCCCTAGGTCATTGCGACAGAAGCGCGCCTACAGACTCTCAAGCTGGAATAATGGACGGAAACTATTTTCTTTTGTCTATTTGGTGGTGGGGGAAGAGGACCCCGGAGATGCCTAGAGAGGAGATGCTAGACCTTCTGGTCTGTGTAAGACATAGCCATAGACTTGAACGAAGGCAGTGTATTTTTTATTCAGCCGTTGATAAGTAAACGTATGTGATGGTCACGCCGACGCTTGAAACCGAAGCTGTTGACGAGGAACCACGATGTGACGGACCGTGCTGCTACTGGATGAAAGAAACGAAACGAAACGAGTCGTGTAGTGCCATATTCCATGAAATCGAACCTAGACCCAACCAACACAGACCCCCCGTGTACGCGAACTCGTTGTGCTCTGAGAGAGAGAGAGAGAGAGAAATTGAGAGAGGGCCGTGAACAAATCTGCCCGGGACCAGCGCCGAGTCCAAGGCCCCCCTCCCCCCCGTCGACCGGCTCAAGTTCCGAAGCCACCCGCATATAACCTCTCTCCCCCCACCGATCGATCGGCGGCACGCACTGCACTGCAACCTCCCTCCCTCTCCCCCCCGAACATTTGGCCCAAACTCCCAAGGGAGCTCCGAAACCCCTCCTTGATGCATCATGCGTCTCTTCGCGTATTGCGCCTCAGCAGCACCCTGTTCCTCCGTCCGCGATTCTTGAACTGCCGCACGATGGCTACTACTACTACTACTACTACTACCGGGCGCACATACAATGTCAGTGGTCACCTCTTTATTTTAATTTTATTTTTACTTCCCCAATCGCCGGGGGAAGCATCCAATGCCTAGCTTGGAAGCGTTTGCCCCTCTCCGGCTGTCGCTCCGACGTCGGAAGGGAGGGGATGATGTCCCCAGCGCGCGCAGATGGGCAGGGGGGAAACGAAACAATGGCAAACGGACAAAGGGCTGACGATTCACCGTTGCGTATACACAGGATGCCGTCGACGCATTGAACACGCTGCAGACGCCCTTCGCCGTCATCGAGGCGAGGCGCAAGGCCGGCGTCCGGCCTGACGAGGCTTCGGTCAAGGAGATGCGCGCATACCTCGCGCGCCTCGGGTACTCGGTGCGGACACACACACACACACACACACACACACACACTCTCTCTCTCTCTCTCTCTCCACAATCACGGGCGAGTCCAGCTAACGTCTCCCACCGACACGCAGATCTCCGACCTCGACAGCCTCAACGTCATCCACGTCGCCGGCACCAAGGGCAAGGGCAGCACCTGCGCCTTCACCGACTCCATCCTCGCGCGCCACCGCGCCGGGTCCCCCGCGTCGCTCCCGCGCAAGGTCGGCCTGCTGACGTCGCCGCACCTGATCGCCGTGCGCGAGCGCATCCGCATCAACGGCCGGCCGCTCTCCGAGGAGCTCTTCGCCCGCTACTTCTTCGAGGTCTGGGACCGCCTGGGCGAGAGCCGGGCCGACGAGGACGCCGTGGCGCCCGGCACGCGGCCCATCTACTCGCGCTACCTGACCCTCGTGAGCTTCCACGCCTTCCTGCGCGAGGGGTGCGACGTGGCCATCCTCGAGACGGGCATCGGCGGCGAGTACGACGCGACGAACCTCGTCGGCCGGCCCGTCGCCACCGGCATCACGACGCTCGGCATCGACCACGTCTTCGCCCTCGGGGACACGGTCGCCAAGATCGCCTGGCACAAGGCCGGCATCATGAAGCCCGGCAGCCGCGCCTTCACCGTCGAGCAGGTGCCCGAGGCCGCCGCCGTGCTCGAGGCGCGGGCGCGGGAGAAGGGCGTGGCGCTGGAGACGGTGGGGGTCGACCCGCGGCTCGCCGGCGTGCGGGTCCGGCCGGACGCCGCCTTCCAGAAGAGGAACGCGAGCCTGGCGATCCGGCTGGCCGAGGCGGCGCTCGAGAGGGTGGACCCGGAGGGGTTCCGGCGCGGCGGCGGCGACGACGACGCGGGGCTGACGCGGGCTTTCGTCGAGGGCCTCGAGACGGTCGTCTGGCGCGGGCGGTGCGAGGTCAAGGACGAGGGGCGGGTGGCGTGGCACGTCGACGGGGCGCACACGACGGACAGCCTGCGGATGGCGGCGCGTTGGTTCGCGGACGAGACGGCGGCTCGGGGGCGGAAGGGCCCGAGGGCGCTGGTGTTCAACCAGCAGGGCCGGACCGAGGCCATCGACTTCCTGGACGGCGTGTACGAGGCCGTCAGGCGGGAGGACGGCAGCGCCTTCGAGACGGTCGTGTTCTGCACCAACGTGACGTATGCCCGGACGGGGTACAAGCGGGGTGAGTTTGTCCTTTTTTTCCCTTTCTGTCCCAAGGGGGGGGGGGGGGGGTTCTTTTTCCTTTTTTTTCTTTCTTTTTGTTTTTCTTTTCCTTTTCATATACAAGGGAAACTGTCGTACTGACGAAGCCGGGCGGGCCGGCGCGCAGATTTCGTCAACCACCAGTACGACGCCCAGGCCGTCGAGGCCATGACGGTGCAGCGGCAGTTCGCGGAGCGGTGGTCGAGGCTGGACCCGCGGGCCGACGTGCGCGTCCTCCCGACGATCGAGGAGGCGCTCGACCACGTCCGCGGGGCGGCGGCCGAGGGGGTCCTGGCCGAGGGCGAGAGCGTGCAGGCCTTTGTCACGGGGAGCCTGCACCTCGTGGGCGGCGCGCTGGGGATCCTGGAAGGGGCCGATGCTCTCTAGACTTTCTGGGGTCCTATGGGTTTCCGGGCTTTACGGGCTTTTCTCGGGCACTGTACACTCTTCAACAACGAAGAAGAAAGGACGGATGGGATAGACGGAACGGAATACCAATAGATGGGAGGGGGGGCGGTTTACGGAATTATAGATGAGGGCGCATGTCCACGCGGATTCAACTCCCTTTTTTTTTCCATCTCTCGAGAGGTATTTTCTACTATTTGTTGTTGTTGTTTTTATGCTCTTCTTTTCCCGAAACCGGCTTATAATAAACCGTCTGGCTCCAACAGGCCGATGACGTTGCCGACGAGATACATGCTCCCCGTGACGAGGACCCTGGTCCTAGTGCTCTGCGCGGCGACGGCGTCCACGGCGCCCTTCATCTCCGTCAGGTCCCGGCACACGAGGGCGTCGACGCCGGGGTACGCCTGCCTGAAAGCCGCGGCGCACTTGTCCTGGACCGCGACGTCCACCGTCGCCGCCGCCTTTCCGGCGTCCTCTGCTCCGCCGCCGCTGCTGGTCTTGTCGTTGCGCGTGAAGATGGCGGCATCCAGCCTCGATGCGACGTCGACGCCCGCGGCCTCCATCTCCCGCAGGAGGCCCAGGAGGAGCGCCGAGGCGTCGCGCTCCTGCTGGTTGAAGACGAGCGCGAACTTGGTCGTCGCGGCGGCGGCGGCGGCGGCGGCGTCCCCGGGGACGACGGCGACGACGGCTGCCATCCAGCGCGCCGCTTCGGCCAGGCTGTCGGTGTTGTGCGCGCCGTCGAGGTGCCACGAGACGTTGCCGCGCTCGAGGACCTCGTGCCGACCCCGCAGCGTCGCCTCGCGCAGGCCCGCGACGACGGTCTCCGGCACGTCCCGCAACAGCGCGCTCGCGCCCGCGTCCGTGTCCGCCTCGACCCCATGCCGGCCCTCGAGGACCCGCAGGTGGTGCGCGGCGGCGAGCGCGGCGAGGGCCTGGTTCCGCTTCTGGAAGGCCCCGCCGGGCAGCTTGGCGGCGGACACGCCGGGCCAGGCGTCGACGTCGTCGTCGGGGACCTCGACGAGGCGGGCGGCGGCCTCGCGGGCGCGGGCGCGGAGGACGTCCATGACGGCGGGCTGGGCGTCGAGGCGGCGGGTGAAGGCGGGGACGCCGGGCTTCATGACGCCGGCCTTGTGCCAGGCGATGGCCTCGGGGGTGTCGCCGAGCATGGCGACGTGGTCGACGCCGAGCTGGGTGATGACGGCGGCCGTGACGGCAGCGCCGCCGCCGCCGGCGGACCGGACGACGGCGTTGGTGGCGTCGTACTCGCCGCCGATGCCGCACTCGAGCACGACGGAGCGGACGCCCTCGCGGAGGAAGATGTGGAGGGCGAGGAGGGTGAGGAAGCGGAAGTAGAACGGCTTGGCGCCTGCGGGGAGGCCGGCGAGGGGGCCGTCGTCGTCGTCGGCGGGGCAGGCGGAGAGGAGGTCCCAGAGCTCGAAGAAGGCGGCGGCGAAGAGGGACTGGGAGACGGGCCGGCCGTCGATGGCGATGCGCTCGCGCGGGGTGACGAGGTGCGGGGAGGTGTAGGTGCCGACGCGGCCGGGGCCGGGGCCGGGGCCGGTGCCGGTGCCGGAGTTTGAACGGGCGGAGGCGAGGAGGGCGGAGGTGGTGAGGGCGGCGACGGAGCCTTTGCCCTTTGTGCCGGCGATGTGGACGCAGGAGAGGGCAGAGAGGCGCTGCGGGGTCAGGTTGGCGCGGAGGAGCCAGGCGCGCATCTCGGGGACGGCGAGGAGGTTCGGGTCGGATGCCGGCGACGGCGGCTTCGGGTCCTGGGGCTTGCCGAAGAGGGCGTGGACCTTTGTGTTGGGGATGAGGGTGTTGAGGAGGTCGAGGGCGTCGGCGTACGTCCGCGACGTCGACGTCGGGGGGGAAGAGGCGGATGAAGAAGACATGGTGGTGAGGGACCGGGCGGTCGGGTATCTGACGAGGTGAGATGCGGCTGAGGCTTGTCGTAGGAGGAAGAGCCTCATGAGTGTGAGAAGAGGAGAAACGGGATTATGTTTTTTTTGTGTTTTTGGAGATGGGCTAATCACGTATGAAGCATCATGGAGCAAAAGCCAATGAAAACAAGGAGAGTTTTGTGCAAGCGGAAAGCTTCCCGGCGGAGAGCGGATTCTGGGGCCGAGTGAGTGAGATGAGGCTGAGACTGGATTGTGAGATGGAATCTTGTGAGCCGAGTTTGAGTTGAGTTTACTTACCGCTTGAGATGAGCTTCTCCAAAGGGGAGCAACATATAATTATGAGACCCACACTCTGCTTGGTTTACTACCGGTACCGGTATATGTCCGTACTGTCATCTATTTATTATGTCTTGCTACGTCCTACGAACCATGCTCTCGATTCGGCCTTCACCTTCAACCTTCAACACCCCTAGATCATATACAGTGCTGGCTTGAGGGCATAATATACCCAGCATTCGGTCTGCAAGGAAAGACTCTCGGTTGTGCCCGTTCAAAGGATTCCGAGAGGCATCGCCGAGAGCTCGGCCGTCCTCCCGATGCCACCGGCCTCTCAACCGAGCTTTCAACCCTCCCTTCGGCCTTCTCAGAAGGTCTTGCTTGATATGTGATGAGACGAACGTCCAGAGAGCCGCCGATCTGCACCGACGACTGAGCATGATAAGCCTTTTGCGGCGTGCTAGGATGGGCCGCCGAGTGCGGGGAACAAGCACATGGCGTCGCGCCGCGCGGGGTGCTTCCTTGCATGGCACTATTTCCGCCACGAAGCGGTCACGGTATGCTAACCTGCGTCGCGAGGGCGGGTCGATTGGCGTTCGATCTGGGGGGGGGGGGGGGGTGGTCTGGTCTCGAGTCAGGGTTTGGCCGCTTACCAGACGCCAGGCATCTACCGGTATGTATCTCATACGGCTATTTTCCGAAGCACGGCAAGGTCAAGGGGGTCAGAGGTATACGATGGGAAGTCCGAGTCTACGAGCAAAGGCCTCCTCCATCTCCGAGCCCGCGCTCGCCTTACCACCACCTCCTCCTAGCTTCGCCTTCACTACTACCTACACCACGAGAGGATGAATCATACCGTCACACGAGCCAGTGTGGGAGTGCTACGGCCGATGTCACGAAGAGACCAACGGAGTTGGCCTAGGAACATAGCACCACCACGTGCCGTTTGGAGGCGAGCCCGTCGAGTCGAGTAGAGCCCCCCCCGGTCGAGTCCGAGGGGTCTCGCATTCGCCCACTTCAAACATGCCAAACGTGGGAATGAGCAAACGTGGTTTAGTCAGGCGAGACAGTTTCGCCGATTCGGCAACGCGGCAACGCCTCGGCCGTCGACCTTGACCTCGATCCCAACGCGGAAAAGACGCCAACCTAATCCAACCCGCTCAGAGTCCAGGATGCCTATCCGTACCGACGGGCAGTTCCTACACTCAATTTTAATTTTTTTTCCCTCTCCCTAAGCTGCTTCGAGACTGCTCGGAAAATGCCTGCTTTTCCTCATCCTCGCCATGTGGCCGGGTAAGCCGGGGGGGTCAGGTTGTAGCGCATGTGGAGGTGAGTGTCATCACTTATGACACGCAGATCTGTTTACGCGCGCCAACCTCTTTTGGTCACTTTTTTTCTTTCTTTCTTCCTTTTCTACTCCTTCGCGATGATTAATAAGATGGCATGCATGTCTCTTGGCAACGTCATCTCTCTCTCTCTCTTCTCTTACCTCCTGCGCGCTTGTCAACCTTCCCTAGTATCATCATCCGTCGCTCTGTGCTGTGACGATTCCTTTCGTTCTTTTTAATACTCTTGACTAAGAGGCTGGACTGGACTGGTTAAAGTTGAATGCTCTCATCTTACTGCTAAGAAAAAAACACCAACGGCACCGCGTGTTCATCGGTGTGAGGGTCAACGAAGGATTTGGATCTCCCACATTGCCGACTCACTTGTATAGCCAACAACAGTCAGACACCGCCAACATCGGTGCCGATGCTAGAAAAGGACCTTCGTGGGGTCCACGACGACGAAAAAGTCGACGACCTCGAGCGCGCCGCCGGCTCGCAGACCGAGCGCGGCTCAACCACCACAACCAGCGCCGACTCGGCAACCATCCGCAGCCCTCATGATGGCGCCGGTCAAGACGTGACCGCCGGAGACGCCAAGGCGGACGTGCCGTCCAACGACGCCACCGTCGCCGTAACAGCGACGGGTGACACGGCCGCTGAGACAAAGGGGTCGGCGGCGTCCGGCGGCGGCGGCGGCGGCGGCGGCGACGACGACGACGCCGACGACGACCCGGAATCCGGCCGCACGAAGCTCGAGACCATGCTCATCGTGCTCTCGCTCTGCGCCGCGCTGTTCCTGGCGGCGCTGGACGTCACCATCGTCACCACCGCCATCCCCACCATCGCCGAGGAGTTCAACAGCAACGTCGGCTACGTCTGGGTCGGCAGCGCCTACCTCCTCGCCAACGCCGCCTTCGTGCCGACGTGGGGCAAGATCTCCGACATCTGGGGCCGGAAGCCCGTGCTGCTGTCGGCGGCCGGCGTGTTCTGGGTCGGATCGTTGATCTGCGGCCTGGCCACGAGCATGGGGTAAGGGTGTCTTTTTTCTTTCTATCTTTCTTTTTCTTCTTCTTCTTCTTCTTCTTGTTTTTTTGCCCACTCCTTCACATGATGTATCGTACAAACTGACAAAACTCGCTTCCCCCCCCATAGGATGCTGATCGGAGCCCGCGCGATCCAGGGCATCGGCGGCGGCGGCATCATCGTCCTCGTCAACATCTGCATCAGCGACCTCTTCTCGATGCGCCAGCGCGGCGTCTACTTTGGCGTCCTCGGCGTGGTCTGGGCCGTGGCCGCGGCCGTCGGGCCCGTCGTGGGCGGCGTCTTCACGAGCAAGGTGACGTGGCGCTGGTGCTTCTACATCAACCTGCCCATCTCGGGCGTCGGCATCGTCGTGCTCTTCTTCGTCCTCAAGCTGCACAACCCGCGCACGCCGGCCCTCGAGGGCCTCAGGGCCATCGACTGGGCCGGCACCGCCGCCATCATCGGCGGCACCCTCATGTTCCTCCTCGGCCTCGAGTTCGGCGGCGTGAGCTACCCGTGGCGCTCGCCGACCGTCATCTGCCTCCTCGTCTTCGGCGCCCTCACCGCCGGCCTCTTCGTCGTCAACGAGTGCCGGTACGCCCGGTACCCCGTCATCCCCATGCACCTGTTCCGGAGCCGGGCCAACGTCGCCGCCTTCGCCGCCTCCTTCTGCCACGCCTTCTCCTTCATCTCCGGCAGCTACTGGCTGCCCCTCTACTTCCAGGGCGTGCTGGGCGTCTCCTCCCTCATGTCGGGCGTCTACCTGCTGCCCTACGTGCTCTCCCTCTCCCTCATGTCCGCCGCCGCCGGCGTGCTGATCCGCAAGACGGGCAACTACTTCTACCTCATCGTCGGCGGCATGCTCGTCGCCACCGTCGGCTTCGGCCTCTTCTACGACCTCCCGGCCGACCGCCGCCTCGCCAAGATCGTCCTCTACCAGATCGTCGCCGGCCTCGGCATCGGCCCCAACTTCCAGGCGCCCCTGATCGCCGTGCAGGCGTCCGTCGGCCCGCGCGACATCGCCGCCGCGACCTCGGCCTTCGGCTTCGTGCGCCAGATGGGCACGTCCATCTCCGTCGTCGTCGGCGGCGTCGTCTTCAACAACGAGATGCAGAAGCAGCGCCCGCGCCTGCTGGCCGAGCTCGGGCCCGGGCTCGCCGACATGCTCTCCGGGTCGAGCGCCGCGTCGAGCGTCGGCGTCGTCGCGCGCCTGCAGGGAGACGAGGGCCGCGTCGCGCGCGGCGCGTACCTGACGAGCCTCAGGACCATGTACATCGTCTACGTCGCCTTCGCCGCGCTGGGGCTCGTCATGAGCCTCTTCATCGGGCAGAAGCAGCTGAGCAAGAAGCACACCGAGCACAAGACGGGGCTGAAGACGCTCCGGAGCCGGACGGGTCGGTGAGCCGGCGCCGGTCGAGGTTTTGCTCCATATCATCATCAGTCTGGGGTTCATAGCGTTGCATAAGGCAGAGGCGTAGCTTTTAGGCTTTTCTTTTCTTTTCTTTCTTCTTTCTTTTTTTCTTTCTTTTTTTCTTCGTTTTCCCACTCTAGCGAGCATCGGGCGGATACCCAGAATAATAATCTTGCATACACTCACAAGTCTTCTCGAGACGCAGGCCTGTGGCACCGTAGCAACTCCCATAATCCTATCGTGCGAACCCCGTGCAATGGTGTTCCAGCTGCATGCTGAAGAGAGGCTCAACCAACCTTTGATCTTCAGGCTAAACGGATGAAGTGCATTCCACGTGGCGCATCAAGTCTGGGGATGGCGGTCTCTCTTTCAAGCTTTCAGGCTCCAGGTTCACGGTAAATGAAGTCACAATGCTTCCGCTCACCCGGTGGCGAGGGGGGGGGGGGTGATGGGTGTAAGGTTGCAGTGAGCACTCAACACGGCGACGGAGACTAACGGGCGAGCGCCGGCTGTGGTATCCGGTGAAGAGGGTGGTGGTTCGCTGTTGTCTTGTTATCTGCCGTACAACTCCTGGTTGAGATGGCTTCATTGGAAAGGCACAAGGTGATGGAACTATTGAATTCACTTACGTAGGTACAGATGAGGCGTTTCCTATTTCACTTCATGTCGGCAGGTCGCACAAGTCGCCGAGCTTCATTGGCGGAATCACGGCCACCTACACGCGGAGAATACTTCCGATTGGAGGCCCGGAGTTGTGTGGTTCGTTTGCGTTCCCAATCAATCGAGGTGTTTCTGCAGGGCTTTGTATGCAGATATGGGTTGGTTCTCTCTGACCGAGAGCCTACGACAGTACAATCATCTAGTGAATACCCAGGCAAGGAAGGGTTTGGACCAAACAGCCCCCTTTTTAGTGCGGTATATGTAGTCAGATGAAGAAGACTTCGAACCTCGAGAAGGTCCAGGCCCTTTTTGGCGAGTCTCGATTCAAGACTCATCCACATCGTGACCTAGCAGGATGCTGATACCCTCAGGTTGGATAGATGGGGTTGCAGCCACTAGCCTGCCCTCCTCCGGAGTCAACACGTCCGTTGCCTTCACGGAAGCCCCCAACGCGAAAGCGTCGTGTATATAACGCCTGTGTCATCCCCAGACCGAATAAGTCCATGTTGGTTGACCTCGCCACCAACTTCCATCATCCCCTCCGGAAGACGCCCGCGGGACATACACAGCGAAAAGAAAAGAAAAAATGCGTCTTTCCACCCTCTTCGCCGCCGCCGCCGGCGGCCTCGCCTCCCTCGCGAGCGCCGCCTCCCTCCAGCAGGTGACGTCCTTCGGCGCCAACCCGTCGGGCGCCAAGATGTACATCTACGTCCCGGACCGCGTCGCCGCGAACCCGGCCATCATCGTCGCGATCCACTACTGCTCCGGCACGGCGAACGCGTACTACACCGGCACGCCCTACAAGGGGTACGCCGACACGTACGGGCTCATCGTCATCTACCCCGAGTCGCCGTACAGCGGCACGTGCTGGGACGTGAGCTCGCCGGCGACGCTGACGCACAACGGCGGCGGCAACAGCAACGCCATCGCCAACATGGTGACGTACACGCTCGGCAAGTATAACGGGGACAAGAGCAGGGTGTTTGTGACGGGGTCGTCGTCGGGCGCCATGATGACGGTGAGTTAGCGCCGTGCTCTTTCACCAGCTTGTCCTGGAATGAGAAGAAGAGTGTCTCCCCCCCCTCTTTCTACGAGGGTAGACCGGGGGGGGGGGGACAAAACAACTGGGCCACGCAAAAAGGCTGAGGAACCTCTTTCGCTGACGGAACGCACGCAGAACGTCATGGCGGCAACCTACCCGGAGCTCTTCGCCGCCGGCATCGTCTACTCGGGCGTGCCGGCGGGGTGCTTCTACACCGGCACCGTCAACGGGTGGAACTCGACCTGCGCGCAGGGCAACTCGGTCGCGACGCAGCAGGCCTGGGCGCAGACGGCGCTCAACATGTACCCGGGCTACGCGGGCGCGCGGCCGCGCATGCAGATCTACCACGGCAGCGCCGACGCGACGCTGTACCCGCGCAACTGGAACGAGACCATCAAGCAGTGGACGGGCGTCTTCGGGTACAGCCTGACGCCGCAGCAGACGCTGCCGCGCACGCCCGGCGCGCAGTACACCAAGTACGTCTACGGGCCGAACCTGGAGGGCATCTACGGCGCCGGCGTCGGGCACAGCGTGCCGGTCATGGGGGCGGAGGACCTGAAGTGGTTCGGCATCACGGTGAGCTCTTTTCCCTTTTCTTTCCTTCTTTGTTTTTCCTTTGTTTTTCTTTTTTTTCTTCTTTTTTTTTTCTCTCTCTCTCTCTTTCTTGTCTTCGTCATGGTATTTGTGTTCAAGAGAGAGCGGCGAGCTGACTCCGGATAGGGCGGATCTCCGCAGCCCGGGACGACGACGCGGAGCTCGGCGCCGCCCCCGGCTACTTCGGCGGCGAGCCCGCCTCCGGCCGGGGGATGTACGGTGGCCCAGTGGGGGCAGTGCGGCGGAAGCGGATGGACCGGGTGCACCGCTTGCGCAAGCCCTCACACGTGCCAGGTCTCGAACCAGTGGTACTCTCAATGTCTGTAGGGGGGGTGGTTGATGAGTGTGGCCGTGGGCTCGCCGGTCGTCAGAGGAGACGAAGAAGGGGGCGCGGGTTCCGGGCTGGTGCCACCGGAAGAGACTTTCCATTCGCGGTCTCCGGTCGACAGACCGAGGATCTTCGAGCACCGATGGGTTACGCGCGAGAGTGGTGCCATCTGTTCCAGCTAGTCCAAGTTTCACAAAGTCTGTTATTCTGAGGGCATTGGTTGCCCGGCCGGAATCAGCTGCTTCATGACCCTCGTCCCTGTAATAACGAATAAAGCCATCGGTAATGTGTCGTTATCAAAGGATGCAATGATTTGAAGCTACCGTCGTCCCATTGTGGGAGGGCTGGGTTGACCAGGATGTGCCAAGCACCCAATGCGCGATGCCTCTCCGCTATCACGCAAGTAAACCCCCCTCCGCGAAGAATCCTGCCGCCGCCGCTTGCTGGCTCCTCACCGGCCGTTGTCGGGGCTCCTGATGATACCATGCATGAGCTGCTCAGTTACCAGTCTCTTGGTCGGAGAACGCCTTGGAAAAGACGCACGTTTAGGGCCGCTCACCCCCGAGCTGGAGAAGAAGATCCGCAGGAAGCTGTACCTCCGCGTCATGACGAATATCATGTTGTTTGTAAGTTTTCATGAGAAGCTCTTGTCGTTTGGTCTTTCGCGGTGAAAAAAGAGGGGAAAAAAGGGGGTGAAAAGGGGGGGAAGGGAAAACAAAAGGCTCAGTTCGCTTACACAAGTGCCCGTGTATAGGTCGACAAGTCGACGCTCGGCTATGCCGCCATTCAGGGCCTGTTCGAAGAGACTGGTGTCAGACAAGCCCGGTACAACAACCTGAACACGATGTTCTACGTCGGTATGCGGCTCTTCTTTCCGTAGACGGGGGGGCCTATCTGGGTCGATCACTTGCTGACAGCCAGTCTTGTTACGCTCCCAGGATACCTGGCATTCCAACGGCCCGGCCACTACCTGATGCAAAAGCTGCCTTTCGGCAAGTACGTCGCCGTCACCATCTCCGCCTGGTCCGTCATCATCTTCCTGCACTCTGCGTCGCGACGCGCTACGCCGGCCTCGTCGTACCGGCGATGGAGATCACGATCGGCATGTTCTTGAACCGCCACGAGCATTCCTTCCTGCAGCCCGCCCTCTGTATCACCTGCCAGGCCGCCCCCGTCGTCACGGGCTTCCTCTCCGCGGCGGGCGGCGTCGCCATGGTGACCATCGACTGGGGGTCCAAGACGGCGCTGCTGGGGTCCCTGAACCCGGCGGCGAGCACGTACGGCGTGACGTACATTATCGCGCTGGGCTGGACGACGTCGACGGCGGCCGGGTACACCAAGAGGCTGACGCGCAACGTCATGTTCATGCTGGGCTACAGCGCCGGCAACCTCGTGTCGCCGCAGATCTGGGCGCCGAGCAGCGGGCCGCGGCAGGTGGGCGGGGACGGCGAGGTCGTCGGGGTCAAGGTCGACATTGCTGTCTTGGACCTGACGGACTTGCAGAATAAGCAGTTCTTGTACCCTCTGTGAGGAAGGGTTTCAAAGATCGGGAAGATGGCGGCGGCGGGGGGTTTCGTTGGAAATAGATGAAGGAAGAGGGACGCTTTATACTTCACTCTCCCCGTACTAGGTTATAAGAAACACTCCGCCGGCACTTCTCGGTATCCATCAGATGGTGTGCTTATCTGCCGTATTTTCGTATCCTGCACACGAATTCCCCTTATGCTCCCGCAAGTATACAGGGTATCGCCGTTTCCAATAGTCTGACCTCCCGCCGGTGCACCTCCCAAAATCCGAGGTCTGTTCCAAACCGCGCGCAAGATCTCTCGGTGCGACCCGCTCGGCACCAGGCGACGTCGCCGCCGGTCTCGCGGCCGTTGGATTGCCGCATCGGTCTTTCAGCACATGGGGGCGCAGGATATATGCCGGACCTTGTGCGACGTCTTTCGACGCCGTCGGTGGCTGCTCACTGGCACCAACTCGCGTGGGACGCGGATGGGGCCCTAGTCTGCGGGATTACGCACCAAAAGCACCCCTAATAGCTCCAGACAAACGGATTTACGGGTTTACGCAGGTACGGAGTTACATGACTCTCTCGCCTTGCTCGGATCGCGCTCGAGAATTGATGTGTAAGCGCCCTCGATGTTGGAGGTTGACGATGATGAGGGTATCCGGTTCGGCTGCAAGGGCAGACGGCTAAACAACCGCTCAACTTGGATTATCAATGTCGTTCGCCTTTGCGCCACCATGTTTTTGTAATGAAACCAACGACGCGGTGTTACTGTGACGCGGAAAACATATCAAAGCACTTGGCAGCTTGCTAATCATCATCCACCTTGGCTGGAGTGCTTCATTGCCCTAACTCGACATCCATCAGCCTTTGGTGCTTGCAGTAATTCCGATGCATGTCGAACATTCCGGTGGACGGTATGAAGGTCGCCGACTATGTGGGTGCGCACGTTGAGTCTAATGAACCAACGAAGTGCCGTTATACCGCCGGATTCGTAACGTAGCTGTGTCTGATAGCCAACTGATCGCGCACCGAATTTCTAGAGTAAAGAGAAGTGTCTCCTGCAACGTAATCCGAGATTTTGAACACTTGTCCCCTGCATGTCTCGGCTCCTCACTACGCTAGTCGTGATCGGCTTGCCCTTAGCCCTGCGCCATGTCGGCGAGCGGTGTTTTTTGCCTACAAGCCGTTGATATCCCCCCGCCTTGCGGACGTACTCGCCCTTCAGTATCCGTCCAGCTTCTGGTGCAGAGAAAGGCGATGCTACTACGACACGTGGAGCTTTGGGCAGGATCCCGCGGGCCGCAACGGAACCATCGAAAAGTCATTCCGACAAGTGGCTATGAGAGGGTTCTCCATGCCCGTCTGGGCCGACCCCGCTTGAACTTGGCTGGCAAGGCGCGTAGGGGAGGACTCTTGGGGACGATGACTCTAGGAGCTCGAGATGCCATAAGCGTTCAGTGCAGAGTGATACACTTTACACTTTGCCAGGCACTCAAATCCAGACGAACCGATAACTTCGGTCCATCTTTACATCTCTATACCTCCTCACGGCCTCGGCCAGCGCCGAACACCGAGGGTGTGAATCTGGAGCTTGGGTATATCGAAGTCGCCGTGATAGATGGAACGAAAGCCTGCGCCTCAAATCCTTCGTGCGGCAGCGGGGAACGCGACTCAGGGCTTGGCGTGTCGTTCCGCGACGCAGCAAGACAAGCCAAAGTTCCATTTATGTTATAACAATAACACGGATATAAACGGTATTAACCTCTAATAATCTAGTTCTTCAAACTTTATCTCCGCATGACCCAGTCGTATGACGCCTACTGGCCATCGCGGAAGGAGAGGGTATCACGTATGCTTATAGATCCTCCGATTCCGTGATCAATGTCTTCTTTCAAAGTGATCATAGTCGGCGGCGGCTCGAGCGGCTCGCTTCTTGCCAACAGCCTCACGAGCAACGGCGTGGACTTTAACCTGCACGAGAGAGACGCAGCCGGTCAGAAGCATCGTGCAGCTTCCTAGCCGGTACATCGCGCGATGCTTACAATATTGGATCAAGTGTACCTCCCGCCATCTTGTACCGGGATAACCGGGGACAACAGGGACCTTGGATGCTGTCAGTAGGAGAGATCTTTTGGCGGGGAGATGTAAGCGGACGAGAGACGGCCCAACATACTCACTCACACAAGTCGTAATCCGGAATTCTATACCGCTTCTTTGTTTTCAGCTGTCCATTGCTGAGAGTCTACGTACTTACCACTATATGTAACCTCCCAACATTGACGGGGCCATAGGCGATGAGCCCAGGACCAGTAACACTGGCTTGTTTTGACTCGGGGCTTTGACTCGTGCTAGAGCGGCTGATCCCGCCGTGGCACTCGGGTGAAACAAAATGGCCGGCCTCAACTACATCTAGAACTACCTGTTGTAATTTAGAAGCCTGTCGTATCCCCGCCGCATTCGATTACTTGATATAGTATATTTGGCATAATGCAGGCTTTTCCAGGCATATTGTAGCGATGTAGCATTTTTTCTACTAATACAAAGGTGGGAAAAGCGGTGTGTTAGTAAGTAGGCAGATTAGGTCGTTGGTATTGAAGACCGGCTATTTTCTTTTTCTTTCTCATCCGAGTGCCTAGTAACCCCAGCCATGTGCGTGTCAAGAGACTTATACATAGTAAGCCCTACCAGCTCTTCAAAACACGGCATGTTTCCCATGGGCTTTCCACAAGACACACGAGAGAGGTTGTCCCCTCTAATGATGTTGCTGACCGTTGCCGTGCCGCTATGTCGGACGGACATGGCAATACTGGCCGTCATGACGCGTGACTTGTGGTGCACCGAGTCAACGGAACCAGATCCGATTGAGATATACGGTGGACCTTTTTGGGGGCAAGGAAACGAATGTTTCCCCGCAGGACCCAATGTACATAAGTAAAACTGTTCACCGTCCCACGCGCCGCTGAACTGCCGACTCGTGCCAACACACTCAAGGATCATAGGACGGCTTGATGCACGTCAAAGTAGTAGCAGAGTGGACCGGCATCAGCCTCAAGGCACCTTGCTATGTAGGCGATGAGAGATAAAGAGAGAACGAAAGATGCAGTAAAACGAAACCAAACCCGGGGGTGCTTACGACCCTTACAAATCTGACGTGGACCCCGGTGGCGGTGGTTCTGGATCCCGCGCGCGCACCGGATTTCCGCGTGTAATTCCGAGCCCTGATGCCCGCCCCGTTCCGAGGCCACCATCCTGTTCCGCTTCACAGGGCCTTTCTTCATCCCCGTTGTCCCGCTGTTTCTAACCCCATTCTCTTCCAGGGTATGGCTGACTATCTTTGGAGTGCGTTCCCACTTTGCTCTGCCGTACGAGCATCACTGATGGGGCGGGTTCGTCTGGTACTTTAACTCGGCCGCCACCCGCCGATATGTTCTATCATGATGGCCCTCCTCCCCTCCTCGACCATCTGTTTTCTGATATCAAGGTGCTCCAAGTCAACGCAGTATAGCCGGGAGTCTTCGTTAGCTCACAATGACGTCTCCGTCGGTATCAGAGAAGGAAAACGGCCAGACGAGCATCGACACGTTGTCGGGAGACAGAACCGCGACGGCGATCCCCGTCGTCAACTTGCCCAAGGACGAAAAGCCGATATTATCCAGCAACGATGACGCCTCCTCCAGCGACTACGGCGACAACGATGGCGGCCATCTCACGCCGCAGCAGTCCGATACCCCGTCTGTATGGCTTGCCGAGACCATGTCTCTCCCCCGCGAAGTCATGTTCATCATAATTTGCTGCATGGCCCAGTTCTGTACCCGTGAGTGAACAACCCCTATCCCTGCCCCCTCCTCAGACGGCGGCAACGCACCACCATGCGCAACGCGCGCACGCATGAATGAGCTGACACCCTTGCCAGAGGCCGCATACATCGACAGCCTCATGCTGCTCCATGTGATCGGCAGCAGCTTCCACGTAGAAGATCCGGCGCGCCTCGCCTGGCTCGTGGCCGGCTACTCCCTGACCATCGGCACCTTCATCCTCTTCTCGGGCCGTCTCGGCGACGCCTTCGGCTACAAGCGCATGCTCATCATCGGCTTCGCCTGGTTCTCCCTCTGGTCCCTCGTCGCCGGCCTCAGCGTCTACTCCAACTTCACCCTCGCCGTCGTCTCGCGCGTGCTGCAGGGCGTCGGCCCGGCCATCTGCCTGCCCAACGCCCTCGCCCTCTTCGGCGCCGCCTACCCCCCGGGCCACCGCAAGGCCATGGTCTTCTCCTTCTTCGGCGCCGTCGCCCCCATGGGCGGCGTCGTCGGCGGCACCTTGGCCTGCGTGCTCTCGCTCGCGTGGTGGCCCTGGGCCCTGTGGGCGCTGTCCGTCTGGCTCGCCGTCCTCGCCGTCGCCGGCTGGTTCATCATCCCCGAGCCCCCGACCAAGCTGCCCGCCCCTGACGGGTTCAAGGCCGCGATGGTCGAGCTCGACGTCCCCGGCGCCGTGACGGGAGTCGCGTCCCTGGTGCTCTTCAACTTTGCCTGGAACATGGCGCCCGTCGCCGGCTGGGGCACGGCCGTGGTCCTCGTGCCGCTGGTGCTCGGCCTCGTCCTCTTCGGCGCCTTCGCCCTCATCGAGTTCAGGTACGCGCCGATGCCGCTCCTCCCCTTCGACGTCGTCAACGCCGACGTCGGCTTCGTCCTCGCGGCCGTGGTCTGCGGGTGGGCGACGTTCGGCGTGTGGACGCTCTACCTCGTCCAGATCCTCCAGGAGATCCGGTCCCTCCCGCCCCTGCTGACGTGCGCGTGGTTCTCGCCCGTCGTCGTGACGGGCGGCCTGGCCGCCGTCATCACCGGGAAGCTCCTCGGCCCCCTGCAGGTGCGCCCGCCCGTCGTCATGACCATGGCGCTCGCCGCCTTCACCGTCGGCGTCACCCTCACGGCCACGGCGCCCGAGGGCCAGGTCTACTGGGCGCAGATCTTCGTGTCCATGCTCGTCATGCCCTTCGGCATGGACATGAGCTTCCCCGCCGCCACGCTGATCCTGTCCAACGCCGTCAAGAAGGAGCACCAGGGCATCGGCGCGAGTCTGGTCAACACCGTCGTCAACTACGGCATCGCGCTCGGCGTCGGCTTCGCCGGCACCGTCGAGGTGCACGTCAACAACGGCGGCCGGACCAAGGAGGACCAGTTCAGGGGGTTCCGGGGCGCGCTGTTCATGGGCGTCGGGCTCGCCGGCCTGGGCCTGGGCGTCGCCTTGTCGTTCCTGGCGAGGGAATGGCGGCATCGGAGCGACGCAAGGAGGAACGAGGAGAAGGCTGCCGAGGCCCAAACCGAGACTTGATGATTATGATTATAATGATTACATAGAATTAGACGCGGCCATATACTACCGCATAATCAGAGATATAGGTGACGCTCGTCATAGACTAAAAAGTCCTCTGGCTTCTTCCAGAACAGAATCCCGTGCGTTTTGATCGTCCAGCATCAATGCTATACGTTGCTGCAACAGTCATCAACATGGAAGTGATCTGATTTTTTTCTTTCTTTTTTTTTTCTTTCTTTTTTACATTATCCAGGTCCGACCCTTTTCCATCCTCATGATCCTCAGTAAGAAAACCAGCATCGCCATGGCCGTCATGCCGAGACCCGATAACAGCTGAACACCGAGGTAACTGCCGGTTTTCTCGAGCAAAACACCCGCAATGGGCGGGCCGGCCAACGACCCGAACGCGTTGGTCGTCGACAACATTCCCAGCCATGTCCCGTGCAGACCGAGATGCGGCACCAGGATCGAGACCACAGTGGGCGGGAGCGAGACGAGGCCGCCGGACGTGAACCCGTAGGCGAGGGCAAACGCCACGCTCCCGGCGCCGGTGCGCACGGCGAGCCAGCACATTGTCACCGTGGCGACGGAGACGCACACGCCGAGAAGGACGTTGACGGGCCCGTAGCGGCCCGCGAGCCACGCGGGGAACACCCGGCCGAGGACGGAGCCCGCGTTCAGTATGGCGACAAGGTAGTACGCCAGCCCCGAAGGGCCCTCGCTGGCCAGCCCGTGGGCGAGGGAGTACTGCTGCAGGTAGTAGATGGGCGGCGTGTACGAGAAGACGTTGAAGAACATGGCCGCAGACAAGACGACGAACGAGGCCTCGCGGTACGCGGCGAGGTCCAGCATGACGCGGCGGCGGCGTTTCCCGGGGGCGTCGCTGCCCCGCTGGCGCAGCACGGCGAAGGAGAAGGCGTTGGTGGCGAGGGAGATGAAGGCGAAGACGCGGATCGCCCAGGGGAAGCCGACGCGCGGGAGGAGGCTCTGGACGATGAGCGGGTAGACGACGCCGCCGAAGCTGCTGCCCGTCGTCGCGATGCCGGTGGCGAGGGCGCGGCGGGCGGAGAAGTACTGGGGGATGATGGCGACGGACGGGATGTAGAGGCAGCCGGCGCCGAGGCCGACGCAGAAGGCCTGGGCGAGCAGGGTCTGCCAGTACCGCGTCGCGAAGCTCGTCGCCGCCATGCCGACGAAGACGAGGGCGGTGCCCGTGAGCGTCAGGCTGCGGAAGTAGCCCGCGTCGTAGAGCGGGCCGACGAGCACGCCGACGAGGAGGAGGAGGCACGACTGGATGGAGCCGATCCAGGCGATGGCGTCGACGGAGGCGTCGTCGGCCATGTGCGCCTGGTAGTAGGTCTGGAAGATGCCGTAGGAGCCGATGATGCCCCTTCGCGACCAAAGTCAGCGGGCCGGTTCATCTTCACCTCGGCCACAGCGGACGCAGGGGGGGGGATGGGGGATGTTGAGAGGGATACTGACCATGAGTTGAAGAACAAAAAGAAGGAGCCCGCAACTTGCAGCCAGGCCACATGGCCGCCGTCCGGGGGCTGGCTCGCGGCCTCGGCATCCTGAACGGCAACGGCGGCGGTGTCACTCGCTTTGGACTCTGTCGGAGAGGATTCCGAGCGCGGAGGCGTTCTCTCGCCGCCGTCTTCGTCGGCGGCAGCGGTGACGGACATGACGGCGGAGTTGCTGCGACTCGACCTGGGTTCACGGAAGCGGTGGCATACGGGACGGCACGAAGACGGTCGGGTTCTCAAGCGTGGGATCCGAACGTGCAAGCATGGTCGTGACCATCGGTGATGTTTTCCCACCTCGAGCCTACTTTTTCCCCATTGCATAAACAGACTCTGTCCCCGGTCCCCCTCGTTTTGCCCGGCATCGGGGGTGCCACCGGCAGAGAGTCATGACTGAATTGCCGCTCCGGGACTGACAGACCGCTCTCTCTACCTTGTCGGGGGCAGGCAGCGCGGATTCCATCCCAAACGGAAAAGGGCCCGCAAAATGCGAATTGTGCAATACGAAAATGAGATGGGAGGGGTTCTTATTTAACTGCGGGGAGATATCAAGGTTGGTTGGTTGGTTGGTTTACACCAGCCACACACAAGGATGCAGAGATCTGCCCGAAGCCGAACTTGTTCCCGAACTTCGTGGCCGAAGTTCGGGAACAAGTTCGGCTTTAATGACATGCCCTTCTGCGACTGAGACAAAACCACCAATGATGGGAGAGTGGCCGCGCGTTCTGAACCTCCAAATCCCATGCCGGAATCCCTCGTCATTCGAGTAAGCGGCTCCTTGTGTACTCGGTCTGAGAGACATGGACACGGTTTCCTCGCCGATGCGCTACCGGAAGAATGGTCGGCTTCAGGCGTGCGACCCCTGCCGGCGGCGCAAGGTCGCCTGCGACCACGCTCGTCCGGTCTGCAGTAACTGCAAGAGGAGGCGGCGGGCCGAGCCGTGCGAGTACACGATGAGCACGCCGGCCCAGGCGCGGGCTAATGCCGCCTTGGCGCGCACGTCGCGTTCGGTCAGCCTGACGGGCTCGGAGGCGGTCACCGAGCAGTACGAACACCCGACCGCGACAACGCTCGTTGACCAGGACCCGGAACGGAGTCCGTTCAGCCACGAGAAGCGTACGCCGGGCCCCCAGAGACCGGCTCGCGAGATCGGCATCCACGACACCTTGTCCGGCCACCTGGGCTTCACCTCGTGGAGCGACGTGTACAAAGAGGTCGGCAACGGCCTCGTCGGCCACGGCTCGGACGCCGAAAAGGGCGCCCAGGCCCACGGCCAAGGCCCTCCGCTCCGGAAAGACAGCACGACTCTCGCCGAGGATGCGCAGACGCTCGAGACCTGCCTCAACATCCTGCGGCAGATCCCGCAGGAGCACGAGGCCGACGCCTTGTTCGACCCGTACTCGGACCCCCACAACGCCTTCATCCACCCGGTCTCGAGGCGCGCCATGGACTCCCTGTACGAGACCTTCGGCCACTGCCTCGGGCCCGCCCGGGACGACGCGCAGCTGTCGGGGCTCGCCCGGATCCTGTGCTGCAACTCGGCCCGGCCCTTCTCCGAGCACGAGCCCGACGGGGAGGCGTGGATGGCGCAGTTCACCGGGCGCCGCATGCGCTGGGAGACGATCGGCATCCTCTTTGTCAACTGGGAGATGAAGGCCAGGACCAGCCAGCTCGGCCACGCCGACGTCGGGCGCATGGGGTACGGGCAGAAGAGCAAGTTCCGCAAGTGCATAATCGACTGCACCTCGTTGGCGCGGCAGGCCACTGCGATGGGGAACAGTCTCCTGCTCTACCTGTATCTCCGACGGGGCATCATCGAATCCGTTGTAGATGGAGACACTAGTGAGTTTTTTTTTCTTCTTTTTTTTCTTCTTTTTTCTTTTTGTTTGATAGCGAGCTTCTTAGCGGGGAGTTTCGTACTGACACGGTCAACCACCAGGCCTCTCTTTTTGGATGACAGGCGGCGAGATGGTGTCGTTGCTCACATTCCTCGGCTTGCACGCCGAGCACGCCAAGCAGCCGTACAAACCGACCTTGGCGTCGGAACTGCGGCGGCGCCTGCTCGTCCAGGTCTTCAGCCTCGACAAGGTGGCCGCCGCCATCACGGGGCGGCCGCCCGCGCTGAGCCGCCGCTACGTCTCGGCGCCGCTGCCGCTCGACATCAGCGACGACGTCTTGATGTCGGACGACGAGACCATCGCCAAGGCCGTGGGCGCCCTGGACGCCCTCGGCCGGAACACGGACGGCTCCCTGTACTCCGTCACGATGTGGCGCGTCCGGTACCGCTTCATGCAGATCCGGGACGAAATCTTTGAGATCGCGCTGGGCGCCGAGTCGGCCATCTCGGGCGACGCCGTACGGTAAGCAAGAAAGCCCCTACCTAGCTTGGGGGGGGGGGGGGGGGGAAGAAACTAGAATCCGCAAAATGCTGAATCCGGCCCTTTTGATAGTGCCCTCAAGGTCAAGGAGCTCGAAGCCGCCTCCGATTTGCCGGCCGCCATGCAGTTCAACGAGTCGGACATCAGGGACCCCGACATCAGCGGTCGTGTCCTCCACATCAGGCTGCTCACGTTGCTGGAGCACCTCCAAAACCTGTTCTTCATCGAGCGCCTCCTGAACCGCCTGGACAGCTCCAACGGGCGGGAACTGCTGGCGGTCAGCTACGAGATGACGTCGGTCACCCTGTTGTTCTGGACCAACGTGGACGGGCTCCGCATTCTGTGCGAAGACTTTAAGTGGCTGGTGAGTGTTCCCCCATCCCCGAGAGAGAGAGAGAGAGAGAGAGAGAGAGAGAGAGAGCCCTCCTCGGGGGAAGAGTATTCCTGACAAGCGAGCCTAGGTGATGGCATACGCCGCTCCGGGCGGCGGCATCCTCTGCCTGGAGCTCCTGAAACCGACCGTGACCGCCAACGACGCCGACGCCGCGGTCACCGACAGCAAGGGGAACGTGATCACCAGGTCCAGCATCGTGCAGGCGCTGAGCCTCCTGGTGGCCTTTCTGAAATGGGTCAGCCCGCAGGAGGTCAACGGCAGCATCTGCGTCGGGTGCAGGAACATTGTGCAGCGGGTGCTCGACGAGGCGCTCAACGCGGGGCCCCGCGGCGGCAACCCCGCGGCGGACGGCACGACTCGGGACTTTACCGAGCAGCTGGACTTCAACTTCGATCTCCTGGACACGTTCGAGTGGATGCGGCCCGAGTTCCCGTGGACCGACGTGCCCTCGCAGGGCCAGGTCGATGCGGTGTGAGACTGATAGGCCGGGATGAGTCTCTCGAGGGGGGAGAGGGGGATGGCGGTGAGAGGGGCTTTACGTCAAAAGAGACACATTGTCTTCAATTTTCTTACAAGATACCAGATGCTGTCTTTGATGAACAAAACGGGATGGCTTGAAGAGCCCAGACGGCCCCGACTCGGCTCCAATCGGAGATCGACACGGGGTGGTGGAGTACTCAGTTTGCAAATCCGCTGCGCTGATCAACAATAATCGGGTCGGTTAGCTCAGTTGGTTAGAGCGTGGTACTAATAGTCTATCCGGAGTGTTAAGTGATGCCAAGGCCGGGAGTTCAAGCCTCCCACTGATCATCCCCTTTTGCCATATCTTGCTTGATATGATGATCGTATTCGTGATTTTCCCTCATGTTTTTGTCCTCTCTCTCTATTTGGTGGACTTGTCACCTCTGTTTACAAGAATCCGAAAAAAAAAAAAAACAAGATATTCATTTATCCACCGTGACGCCGGATCATGAATCGTGTGCTAGCGGTTGTTGGTCAAGGTAGGAAGGACGCTTTTCCCGCGTATTTTTCTCCTTCTGGAAGACTTCTGCCAACTTCGGGTTGTTGTAAAGCATCTATCTGTTCCGACGTGATATAAGCCACAACCGCAGCATGGCATTTGTGAATCCACTTTTGTGCCTCCAGTGCCTCATTCTATTCGTCACGGCATCGTAATGACTCTTTTCAGTATAATTGTGTGATGCCTCCACGTGCACATTTTCTTTTCCATACTTTGCAACGTTCGATGCGAATGCAGTCTGATTCGCCGCTCAATCCCAGGCTGCGAATCCCGTGGCTTGACCCCGGCTGGTGCTCGAGATTTTCAGGAGGACGGCCAAGTTGCTCAAGGCTATGCTGGATCCGGGACCGGGGAGACCATCTGTTCCCCGCCCATGAGGCTCGCGCACCGGATGATAGTTGACTATAAGAGGAGGCTGTCTAGTGTGTCAAGATCCATAATCCACAAACCAGGTGAAACCTGCGTTGTTGAAACAACAATGTCAGGCCTGGGAGCTGCCCGACTACCTATAGAATCACAAACTCTGAGGAGCTAACCAATCCTGGGTGTATATTTGACGTGACCGCTGAGCATACGAAAGGCCGATGCTGACAAATACATAAACGCCACATCTGAAAGGCGTATTAAGAGAGTGTATAAGATGGAGTTACTATGGGGTTAGCCATTATATAGTTGTCGTTAAGCCCCAAATATGAGGCGTGAAGAATACAAATAAGCTTAATCTAGATACTGTCGCGCAAAAACGACGCCGTTAGTTGCGGCAGCACAACTAACGCCTTATATCACCTCGTGACAGAGACAAAATTGTTAGGACATTAACGTCATATGAACGTGCGACATCTAATGATTCAGCATATTTGAGACAACAGGCACAGGTTAGATACTAGGCCCTCGGTTGTTCCAAGGAGCGGCCAATGTACGTTCAGACTACACTAATAATACACAAACAAGCGTACTGGACAGAGCATGTCTTTTCATACGGCAGCCAAGTGTTGCGTTTAGACGGTTCGTCATAAATGTACGATCTCTGACTTACCCTGCATTTCATCCTTATTACGATTATACACTGGATTCTCCAAGGAGAGAGTTGATTTAACAAACATGAAGACAGTTATGAAGCATTTTAATCACTGTGCTAGGAATATTGCTCTAATAGCAGGTTTATGAGAAGACGACTTTACTTCGGCTTGATAATTCTGATATTTCAAGAAACCAGGGACATATTCTCGGATGACAACTCCTCCCTCCATTACGGAAAAGGAGCAATGCGAAACTTCCAACGAAAAGTAGGGTTTAGTTTAGGTATTGCTATGATGCCCTCCTGCTACTACTACTTGCTCAGCCAGTTCGGCGTAGACATTGTCTGAGT